CGGCGGCCGCCACATAACATATGATGCAATGGGATGCGCTGCGGAACACCGCACTTGATCGCTGTTTTACCAAGGCTCTCATGAAGCCATACACTTGACGTGCAAATTTGCAAGCCCGTGAAAAACTGGCAAATGACGTCACATAGGCCTCTCCCGAAACGCTCTGTTTATTCGCGGTCTGAAGGAGGTCAGGGCCATTGGATGATGTGCAGATCATTTGTCGCCGCTAATTAGGAGAGGAGCCAGATGCCTGCTTCTTGGAAGCCGGCAACTTGTTCACGGTAACTGGCCATTGGAAACACACGACGGCTTTAAATCAAACGCCCAACGTGAGGCTCGACGTTTAGGGTCGTGCCGATCCAAGGTCATCGGGAGCATAATAGTACGGTGCGCCGTATGTCATGCATACAGAAGCGCGCGGGTGAAAAGCAAAGGAAAAAAGTCAAGTGACTTAAAAGTGACAAGAGTAAGTGCCAAGTCTCCAAAGCGTTCATTCGCATATCTTATTCGCGATTTTGCAATGAACTGGACTGCGGACATTATTTTAAAGCAAGCCTCTGTTTCCTGGGGTTTAGGTGAGTGGACACAGACCAGCTTTCTTTTCAGCTAGGGTGTGTCGACTACCCAGGCTTAGAGAACAAATGGCGAATCCGATTTCCTTAGCCATGGCTGCATCCCCTTCTCCCTACACGGCTTCTGAAGAGTCCAGCACGGAATGCGATTATTGTTAATTCCTCACGTTCGCCCCCGGACACGGCTGCACATGCACGCAAGCATATGTGATTGCGAATCGGCACCAAGCTCTATGGACGGTGTCCAAACAGGCACACTTCGGGACCTGTCACATACTTCAACGGAGCAGCCGACATCATCAGACCCGTTTGCCACCCTTGCGCTCATAAGCGCTTTATTGTTCCATCAACCAGTGCCGGGCGACAGGCGGCGCCCTGTGACAGCTGCAGCCACGGGCGACAGGCGGCGCCCTGTGACGGCTGCAGCCACGGGCGACTTCCCTCACAAAGCGCTGCATTGGAGGCATCCTCGCGGGTGTCCCACGTGGCTTTCACCTGCGGAAATACCGGCGCCGGGGTGGCAGCTGTGGGTCAGGCGGCGCCCGGACAAATTATCTCCCAATGGCCAATTTTACGGAGGACGGCGCCAGTCTCGGCACTGTTTTACGGCTCCAGCATGGTAGAGGCCCGGCTAGGTGGGCCTCTTACGACGACTTGCGGGCTCTGTTGGTTTTTGTCCAGAGTCGACGTGCGGTGCGGAGTTATTGCAAGCGTCCATCGAAGCGACTGCGTTGGATTACTCCTCGGCACACGACTGTGCGCACCGCAGGTCACATTAGCACCACATTCCCTCGGACAGGCTGTGCTGACGGAGGTCCAAACAGTGACAGCCGCACGCTGCTCTGACGGTTGGGTGGCAGGCTCAGAGAGTGTCATCTAAACGGTGGGAGGAAGACGTCACCCGGAGAGGCCCAGCCGGAGCCGGCGGGAACCCCTTCTAGAAGCTAACACTCTTTCGGCACTTAATCGCAGTAGTCTGATTCCGGTCTACAGCGTTGCGACCGAAGACGAACAGATCTTCGAGCTCTGTTGGAAGGAAAAGAGTTTGGAGGGATGTTAGTGAGGGTTTGACGACAAAGCTGTCCTCGCAAGCGATGGATCAGTTCATGGTCAAGATGATTATAATTGATTGTGATATGGTTATGAGTAGATTCAGTCTCAAGACGTGTCGACCCCTAATGTCTTTAACTATTTGAGCGGGCATCATTTTGCCACGACCTGGTTATGCAAACAAAACACAGATATCCCCTTTCCATTGAGAGAGAGAGTACAACACTTGCCAAATACAAAACGTTGCACAGGCTTGGATCCAGGGAGCAGGCACTGGACGAACGCGCCTCTTCTAATTGACACGTTAAGGCGCCCTTTAGAGGCCACCTTGCGGTCACGGGAGGCGGCTCGCATCTTGGTCGTGGGGGACGGGGATGGGGTTAGCCATGAAGGACTTAGGTCATCCCCATATTCCAAAGCTTTTTACTTTAACCTCACAGACCATTACGCGTCTTATGACGCTAGGTATGTGCAGTTTATTGCATCATTTATCCGTGCAGTTGTCACGATCGGTATGTTGTGGCGAGAGCAACTATGACTTTTTGTTATGACAGTGGTACCAGACTCCACTACGCAGAAAGATCAGTCTTTGTGCTATGATCATCTTTTACCCCTCGTTTTTTGTAGTGGTGCAGCCAAAAACATTGGGGGGAGCCAAGCCAACATTGGGGAGCCAAGCCAACATTGGGGAGCCAAGCCAACATTGGGGAGCCAAGCCAACTCACCATTGCGGGGGCAGTGTCCTCACAAAAGAATACAAATCGACACCCGTGGCTGAAACAGCAAACCGACATCACTTCATGGAGGAGAGATACGGCCGCCCTGCCGGCAAAAGTCCGGACCCATGTGCTCTCGAATCAAGTGCTAAAAATAGGGGATGTGTGGCTGACGCGCCCTTGCACTCGAGCCAAGGAGCCAAGGCAAACCTTTTTCAGTTTTTTTTTTTAAAGATTGATGCTGGATCTCTGAAGCCAGAGGCGATAGAGATCGAAATAAACTGCACAGGATTGGCGAATATACGTTCCTTCTACGAATCAGTAAGCTATAAAAATACACACACACACATATATATATATATATATATATATATATATATATATATATATATATATCCACATAGAGATCGTGAATGGTTTGATAAAAACACCGCAAATTCATTCGATACGCTTCGTGACATTTGAGCACTATCGTGTTGGCATTGTCTCTCCAGCGCAGTGAAATAGTCATTCGTCCCTTCATGCTCACATTCCTGGCCACGTTTCGTTGTGCGCTGAGGCAACTGTGCGCCCATCGTCGCCTGTGAGCCATCGTCTCACTTACCATTGGTAAAAATATGCTTTATGAATAAGCACTGTAACGGTGTTCATTTGCCGACTAAGCCGCAGCGGATGGCGGAATTTCCCGCACATTGATTAGTCATTCGTATTGGTGTGCACCAACGATTGGCTTGATTAGCCTAATTTTTGGGGTAGTCTAGGTGATGATAGCTGGTAAGTCTTAATTCTTCCCTTTTTTTCTACCCATCGTCCGTAAAAGGTGACCAGGAGTGACCGCTCCTGTCCACCGCGGCGCATAGAACCGTACGGTGACATCCAAACAAGGAACAGGAAATTGCAGCACTTCCTGCTGGGAAGTAGGAGGAATACTTGACAGGCTAGGCAGAGGAGCACACAGGGATTAGTTTTTCCAGGATAGTGGGGGGGGGGGATTATGACGCACACAAATGCAACTTAAAGGTGAGGGGGAAATGAAAGTAGTCAGGATCAAGAAGGACGGCTGACAGGCCTCTAACACTAAGAATCACATTAATGTAATGCCACAAAACTACGTCTGATTGATGCACTGAATAAATTGGGGCGAATCAGGGTCCTGGCGTGGTCACATGCATGCCGGACCTGTTAACGAGGCAAGCTTGTCCTTCATGGCGTGACAGGGGTGCAGGTGTAGTCAGAGTGAAGCCATAGTTAAGCTGAGTATCATGCTCCAAGTTCCTCTGCGTGCCACGCACACACACACGCACACGTACACGCGCACGCGCGCGCACACGCACAAGCACAAGCACAAGCACACACACACACACACACACACACACACACACACACACACACACACACACACACACACACACACACACACACACACACACACACACACACACACACACACACACACACACACACACACACACACACACACACACACACACACACACACACACACACACACACACGCACGCACGCGCAAGTACACGCGTATATGCACGCACGCATAAAAAGAAGGAAAAAGATACGCACACGTAGCGCATCGTACGCAAGGCCGTATCTTCGCAGGGGTAATGCATGTTGGGTTTTGTCAGCGTCCGATTTCTGTCCGTGCCCACCGGCCCATTTTTGCGTCTCCGTATTGTGGCCGGCCCGACCGGCGGAGTGCCTGAGGCGCATCGGCCAGTCGTAGTCTATGGGGAGCGCGCAGACAGGGCGGGCGATATTGTTATTAGTTTACTTGTTGTTAATCTTTATCAGTCATCACATTGTTCATCAAGCGTCACATAAGACGTCTTACTGAAGACTTATCTCACAATAACGGAAAACGTGATGCGTATAGCAACACGGGTCAGTTTGGCGTAGATGCGAACTTTGTCCGTCAAATTGCACACATAATGGGCACTTTGCCTTTCACCATTCACTCGCAGCGCGGAAGGGCTGACAAGACCAAACGAAAACAAGGGTGAAATTGCTAGCTTAACTTATTGTCATAAACCGATGTGTTCATGAGAACGGGAGGGCTTCGGGAGAGACTTTACCTGCACTCGTGGCTACGGCTGGAAGTAATGATCATGCCAACTATCCGCCCCACGACTGGCAGATCCCCGGTGTGACGGTTACATGACCATGGACATGACGCCGATGTAACCGATGCCACCGATGTGAGCGCCGCTGTGAGGAGCACACCGATGTTTCTGAACCTCGCATGTTACTTGCCACAACATCGTGACCTGTCATGACGACATGGGCTTGTAATCGCTTTGCTGCGATTTTCACTCTCATCGATAATTTGTAATCTTAATCAAAATATTACAGAGCGTTTCCTAGCTGTCATCCAATCACTCCAACAGTGACGTCAGACAGCGAATTGGTCCAATGCGCGCCCGAGTTCTAGGCGGTGAGATTACCACAGCGGCCGCTCGCGTCACGAACTACGCAGCGGCACGGAGCACTCTCCCACTTTTATTTACTACGCGAACTGATAAAATATGCTGTTTTGAGACCGTTTTCACTCCATGGCGGATTTATCAATGAAACGTGCTTTGAATGCATGGCACGAAAAAGCATAAGGGATGCTTCATCCGTTGCTTCATTTAAATGACAAACTCAGAGACTTAGACACGCCGGCGACTAGCTCGCGTTTATTGCACAGGCCCACGGTATTCGAATACACTAATATACACACAACAGTCCATCAACTAGCCGTCTAAACCGACCTGTAACACCACGGCGGTTTGACTTAGTTATTATAAGTAGACGATGATGAAAGCATTTTCTCCTCTCAAAGAAACTCGTCAAAACACCAACAACGGACATAGTTTACACTATATCAGCCACTAATGTGGAATACAGATTGTCCAACTGTGACAGCGGATATGAAAACACACGTGCCACCTGGCCATTCCAAGCCGCATTACGAGAGGCGTGAGGTTTTGTTCCTTGGTAAAACACACTGTTCTATCGGTGCAAATGAGAGAGCACCGAGATACTCTACTTCGTATGTGTTAATACACACGCTGTACGTTTGCCAGTTTTTTTATGAAACTGCGATGCATTTTATCGTACTAGAGTAAACAGATAATCTAAACAAATCCAAATGTTCGTGGTAATACAAAAGGCGGCTTACTTTGGTCTTTGAACAGGAAACTAGCAGAACATCTGCGATCAGTGACACACAAAACAAGCAAATGCTTCGAGATACTGAGCATATCAGAGCAGACCACAGACCAGAACGGTCCTGTTACGTAAACGCCACCGTCCAGCCGGTCTACTGTCCGCTTGACAGGCGGCTCAGCGGTCACGTGACGAGAGGAGAACTACTACGCAATGAGCGGCAGACGTGTGGCCACTGAACGGAGCGGAATACCGACGCACCGGCGAGAACGCTCACGCTTTATCAGACCACGGGAGCGGCTCGTCGGAGACCACGGACGCTTGACGGACCGCTACCGAGTGCGTGGCGTGGGTACGAGCGCCCGCCGAAGCAGCCCACCACGCCAACAGCATCGGGTCGACGTTGCTGGATGACGCCCGGCACAGGCCCCTGGACGCTTCCGCAGTAACGGGCCAGCGGAAGGCCGCAGAGGCGACATGGCTGGCGAGAACAGAATCCAACCCGACTGACGACAGGCTACGTTTGAATACAGCGCATACAAAAGCACGCGCTAGTTCACACATGATGCGATGGCAGACAGGTATGGCTATATCGACGAGGCCGGGCGCTTGGTTAAGCGTTGATTACATCTCATCACATCGATCCTACAAAAAGCGGATCTGAAACAACGTCCACGAGCTCTAAAATGCCCGCTGGCAAAAGCTCCGATGGCAGAAATGTTGTGCACCTACGTTTCCGTGTCCAGACCCCCTCACCTGGCGGCAGCGGGACCTCCGATAATTATAGCACGAGAACACCTGCTGTGCCAGAAGGTCACAGATCGGCCTTCAACCCTGTCGCAGCTCACTAATCCTGAATACAGGCCATACGTCGTCCCCAGCCAAACAAACGCCTTTGCCTTATTCCGCCGCCCGGTAGACTGCAGTGACGTCACACGGTTCGCGTGACGTCAGCGCTAGACGAACATGGAGCGGTACTCATGCGGCAGCGCGCCGCGCCGCGGGAAGAACACGTGCGCGGTGTTGAGATCGAGCAGGTTGGAGATGCTGGACGTGTAGAGATCGCAGAAGTGGAACAGGCGTCGTGAGAAGTAGGTGGGGTTGTGGTGCGTCCGGAACAGGCTGCCGAACTGATTGTTGAAGATGTTCTTCGTGTACAGCCTATGGAGGGAAGGCGAAGCCGGTGATGCTGGTTGATCATTCAGCGCCGGCAGAAAACACGAAAGTTGAGAGCAGTACACGTCTTGCAAACTTTGCTCGTGATCGAGATATTTTTGGTTCGGTTGTCTACACGGGCCTAACGATCAAAATAGCAAGGTAGGATCAATGCTGGGTGTTTTGGGATACCCTTACTGCAAACAGCTGTCCTACTTGTCCTAACCTCACCGAAGGTTCTCCGATCCGCTTACACGCCCCACCGCTTTCAGCAAGTCCTATATTATCTGAAATGACCTGAGGTAACCTCACAGAATGTCCCTGACCTGACACGACCTGACCTTCTGGATGCAGCTGGCCTCAGTTGACCTGACGTGAACCAGCCACTGACCTTAGCTGGTCGCGTTCGGCGACCCACTGCTGCATGATGGGCTTGTTCTCGGGCCGGCGCAGTTCGTTCTGCTCGCTCTCGATCAACTGCTGCAGCTGCTGCAGCCAGTTGCTGTTGGCCTTGTACTCGGGTTGGTTCAGGATGCTGATCTCGTGCTGCGCACAGAGGGCACCCTCAGCGAGCGAGCCGCGGGCAGGGGGCGACACGGGCAAAGGTCGCGCAGGACTGGCGACAGAGCAGTGGGTGCAAAAGCCAGGCCAGACGCACAAGCACGCTCGAAAGGTGGCGCTGTCGAACGATGATTGTTATAGACGATTACCACGTGGAAAGTGCCAACCTCACGGCTGTACGCGCAATGTGAAAACGATCCACCACTGACTGTCTACGGCACGCCTAAGTGCCAACTCGCACGAGTATGGGACGAGATTTGACCAGAACCCGCGCTCATCAAGCCTCGCTCCCCAACGACATCGCTCACAATGCCTGTTTTCCGCCGCCGCGCAGCAGCCCGGCGCCCCCGCACGAGCGGCGCGGTCCTGCCCGGGCCGCAGCTCCTCACGTCTAGCTCCCAGAGTATGGCGCCTGTCCGCCAGCCGTGGTGCAGGCGCACGTCGGCCAGGTCCGTGTATGGATGGTCGCCGAAGTACAGCACGTTCCCGCCTGACCAGCCCGTCAGCTGCTGCAGCTGGCGCACGTTGCCCTGGTAACGAAGCGACGCGTAAGGTAAGGACAAGTACGCCAGCTCAAGTCGCGAACGTTTCAAAAGTATTCATTTTGAAGCTCAGGAACAGTTCTTTGGTCGACTAATTAGTATACGTTCTATCGCTGATTGTTTACACGGAGCCACCAAACACTTATCAAGGAAGACGAGAGGTGTCTTCGTATGCCGTTATTGATGACAGCAAAGATGGAACAAACCCAAATACTCCACGAGCGCGGAGGAGAGTCCCGTAGGACGTATTCGTCCTCGTCATGGCGTGCGTGTGCTACAGGTCACGCTCACCTCACAGTACACCTGACCCTTCTTGACCTCCGTAACCTGGCTCCAAGTCTTTGACCGCGTGCCGAGATCAAATCTCCGCAACGGCGACGACCACTGTGTGAAAAACTTGGGCTTCTTGGCCTCGACGACAACCAGATCAAACAGAGACCTCCACTCGGGCCCCGCAAGAAACTGCATCCCTCGGTCCCTGAAAGAATGAAGACCACCCACGGGTCGCCACATGCCAACATGCTGCCGGATACAAACGTGGACACTTGCATTGTCCTGTCCGCCGCGGTGGTGGTGTACATTATCGAAACTTCCGAACGCATTCCACACACGCCACACATACCGCGGAAGTGCAGAGGGCGAAGAGAATCACATTAACCATTATATAAATTCCCGTTGTGTAGCGTCCATTCATCTGAAGATGAGCGCCGACTGAACTTGAGAGGTGGCATTTCCTGCCGCCCAATTCGAAAGCTGGACCAGCGCATTCCTCACATAATGCCATCTCCCACCAACAGATGGCAGCATGAGCTGGAGATCACACAGCATTCTCACACGAAGTCGAAAGGGCTGTTGGTGATGAGGAAGAGCTTCCGTTCCTCCTGGACGAGCCGCTCCAAGTACGGCACCAGATCTGGGTTCTCCTTGAGGTAGGAGGCCGGGTTCTTACTGACGATCCCGTGCATTTTCGGGTGGATACTGCCGATGGCGTTCTGAGAACCAAACCACACCGTTTACAAGACGATACCATACCGTTTTACGGTGCACAAACGAAACCTCACATCGGTCGGAAAGCTCGATGTTCCGCTGAAGAGGCAGGTGATGGATGAGTCCAAGCAAACGTAGTCCCTTCAAACATGCGTATAGTGCTGGCGCATGGACTACGAAACATAGCTTTCAGTTACGCGTTAGCCAACGGCAACTGAAACTGTTCACCACAAGGGACCTCGCCCTGTCTTTCCCAAGGTCGTACTCCAGGCAACCACTCCTCGCCCACGGCGCATACCCATCAAGCGTCTCACAGGTGGCCCAGTGGACGGTGACGGCCGCGCTGCCAGCTGAGCCACCCAGGGACCGTCCGCGGACGTATAACACCGGCGAGCGCGGTGCCCGCCAGCCACGGCGCCCTGCCCCGGACCGGCGCGCGCTGGCGCTCAGAGCGGGCCGCGCTCCACTCACCCGCACGTCCGAGAACAGCTCAGAGCGGGCCGCGCTTCACTCACACGCACGTCCGAGAACAGCTCAGAGCGGGCCGTGCCCCACTCACTCGCACGTCCGAGAACAGCTCAGAGCGGGCCGCGCCCCACTCACTCGCACGTCCGAGAACAGCTCAGAGCGGGCCGCGCTCCACTCACCCGCACGTCCGAGAACAGCTCAGAGCGGGCCGCGCTCCACTCACCCGCACGTCCGAGAACAGCACGGCCGGCTGGAAGTCGATGTTGTTGGTGACGAAGAGGTCGGTGACCTGGCACATCAGGCACATCTCCGGCAGCGAGAAGAGGTCGGCCAGCTGCACCATGCGCGCCTCCTGCGACACAGCCCAGCCGGGTGTCAGCGTTTGCTGCTCAAGGGTCCGGGTTCAGGACAGGCAACAGGAAAGCTGTGTGGAATAGGCAGGCTCTATGCTGCTTATTTTGTTGCTTCCGTAGATTCGTAAGATAAATAAAACAGCCGGCGGACTGATACTCAAAGCGAAGATAAACCAACAAGTTTGTTAAATAAAATGCAAAACTCGTGTTTTTTTACGACCCCGAAACCTTTCGAAGATGTCGCTTTACTGACGTCAGCCTGCATACCAGCATCGCACCGCCTGGACTGGACGCCTAGCCTCGTGCAGTCCTGTCACATATGTCCACCGGCCGTCGCAGTCGAGAGTCAGCAGTAGCTATGTGAATGCCACCGGCACCCCGCATACTTCCATCAACTGCTCGCGTATACTGGCCAACGGCATACTAAACCAATGCTGAATGTTAAGGTATTAGCCACCTTAGGTACAGCATGCGAAGTAATCAATCCCCAATGTACACCATTCAGGTTATATCATACAGGGCGCGTCTTATCACTGAGCATGCATCCTCGCGTTGGCAGCATTGTAAACGCTTGACATGTTCGCTTAATGCCCATTCGTATGATTCAATCAGACATAACTGACGACAAAATTATCTGCCTTAAATTATCTCAATTATCTGCCTAATTCGCTTTGCTACGCGAGTTTGAGACCGGATCCATTACAACGACTCGGCAATTGGTCGCGGAGGCCGACAAAGATGCCACTGCCGACACCTCAAAACTCGCCCCCGCGACCGCAAAGCAAGTGCGCCATAAAGCGCGCCCTCCCATCCAATTAACGCCAATCGCCGCCCCGCCGCGGCCGCTCCGCACCACCGGCACCAGCTCACGGGCGCGACGGCGCGGCGGGCGGCGGCGCCACGCCGCGTGCCCCTCCGCGCGCCCCTCCCCCGCGCCGCCGTCCCCGGACCACCGAGCGCGCCGCGTGCCCCTCCGGTTAGTGGCGGCCCACCCAGCGGCGGCGCCGGCCCGCCGGACCACCCACTTACCACGTGCTGGAGGTCATCAGCAGCAGCCGCAGGGCACACAGAGACACGGTTAAGGCCACAGGTGATGACGGTGGAGGGGGGAGGGGGTACATGGTTTGTTGGAGCACTGAGACAGGGGCAATTATTGACGTGAGGTTTATGGCTGCACAATTTACTCCTAATGCGCTAAAACACTAAGCAGATACAGTTTTCTGCAACGCGGCACGTGAGCGTCAGTACAAGCCCGTTGTCTGTCGTAAGGGACACGGAGAAGAGGTCAGTATTAGGGTCACTGGTAGAAGCTTTACAAAAAACTGCGGGAAGAAAGCTAGCCATTTATTGCAACCGTTCGCGTGAGACTGTGAAATGACACTTTAAACAATTGCTCACGATCCCTCTTCGGATGCCTTTTGATGTGGTATTTGTATGTGGTATCAGATCCCTTCTGATGTGGTATTATGTGGTATCCGTATGTGGTAACAGATCCCTTCTGATGCGGTATTATGTGGTATTTGTATGTGGTATCAGGTCCCTTCTGATGTGGCATTATGTGGTATTTGTGGTCCCCATTGGAACACCTTCAAACGCCGAAAAACACTTAAACGCCATTTCACTCTGTCAAACAGGGATGCTTAAAACTACTTGGTATTTTAACGACCCATTCGTTTACTTCGGTTGTTCAGCACCAGCATCTCCCATGCTGGCTTATACGGGGGCGACGAAACGCCAGGTCTCCACCCGGGTTCGAACTCACGACTTATCAGAGACGGCCGTGCGCCAACGCCAGAGCCGACCGCGTTGTGTCTACCTCCGCTGTTCACTGCTCTAATACCTTTATTGTCGCGTTTGACGCTCTCCAGAACTCTTGCTTATTATAGAAGCTGACGAACCTCGGTAAAACAATAGTACTAGCCTTCTTCCTCACAGAAAAACCGGGAGAGTGGAGATAAAAATGGTCGATATTTCGGCAACATGCCTCTATCGAAACGAATAGCAGAAGTGAATTCACTTCTGCCATTCGTTTCGATAAAGGCACGTTGCCGAAATAACAACGTACGTGTATCTCCTTTCTCCTGGGTTTTCTCCGACGAATAAGGCTACTACTACTGTTTTATCTATGTGCATTATGCTCCTCGAAAATGGACTTTCCAAGTTCAAAACAAGCTTACACAAAAAGGAATATTAAAGCAAAAAGTGAAGCTACCCACGCGATATGCTCAACAACGCCGGAACGAGCTCATGATTTTTAGCATTTCACCATTAACACTTTTTGGCATCAAAATTACGAAATGACACTAACTGAAGCAAAACGCGGTTGATTCGAAACCATCTGACTCAGCTCCTACCTGGCCAGAGGCTCAGTGAAATGTTAGGCCAGTCGTCTACCAACTGATATCTCAACATCATTTAAATTTAAACGGGAATTGTTAATCTCCTCGACGTCTCTAACATAAAATAAGATGCAGATAAATCATTTATGCATGGTGGCCGCCACAGGACACGAGAAGAGCGGTGGACAATCGCCTCGGTCAAACCCCCCTCGCACAGAACATCCCACGAGCACCTTCGCAGGAGACGGTCCTGACCAAAGCCTTCTCGCCGAGACCGGCATTGCTTGCGTCAGACAGCGCATGGCATGTACGCGTCCAGCTCCACAGCACCGACTCACGGCCGCTCCACTCGCTTCATCCCCCGCTGCGCCCAGTGGCGCTGCTCATGTCGCCACCCCAGCAGTCGGAGGGCCTCGCATTTGCCTTTCGAGAGCACGGCCCCCTCTGGACTGGAATCGACGCGCTATTGAGCTGCCTCGCGACCCGGCCGCCTTACAGTCCATTGGCCGCCACCGGCCGGCCGGTTGCCTCACTGAGGGCTCCCGCCCGCCTCCTCCCGCGTCCCCCGCCCCGTAAATCGCGCCGGGGTCCCGGTGTGACGGCCGCGGCACCTGTCCGAGCATGTGAACGCGGCGGCGAGGCGGCGCGAGCTGGGATCGGCCGGGGAGGGTGACACGGACACGTGGCTGCAGGACGGCGCGAGCTGGGATCGGCCGGGGCGGGTGACATGGACACGTGGCTGCGGGGCGGCGCGAGCTGGGATTGGCCAGGGCGGGTAACACGGACACGTGGCTGCGGGGCGGCTCCGGTTTTGACACGTTCGCGGGGCGCTCTTCAGGGCGCGTGCGCCGGCATGTCTCGACTTGTGGATAACGCTCGCGGAAGCGTGCAGGGCAGCACTATCATGGGCTGTTCTTTGCTTAAAGTGTGAGTAAAAGAAGAGACGTGGTGAGGGTGACTTTTCTGTCTGTATGTTGTTAAGGGTCATCCATAAATTATGTTACGCATGGAGGGAAAAGAGGCGACGAGTGGGTGGTGGCGAAAATAGACATACAACAAGGGAGGAAGGAGAGATTTTGGACAGCGTAATGTTACGCTCCGGCATGGCTGAAAGCATGCTAAAATATCTTTAAAAATTAGAGCCCTGAAGTCGGATGCCGCAGGCTTCCTATCATCACAAGGAGCACGCTATTATTTGTTTCGCATCCCCAGCTTCATTGGGTATCAGACGGACGTTACGTCTTTGGGACCTCACATTAACGTAGCGCAACCAGGGGGAGTGGGGTGGGGTGGGGTCGCCCATCGTAATAAATACGCAACTAGGGGAGAGAGGGTTGTAAATAGCCAAAAATGTTCAAAGCCATCTGTGGACAGCTCATGCTACCTCTATTGCTACCGATTTCACCCCACGTGGTGCGCAAGATAACTAACAGATGGCGACTGTTTTGACTGAATGAAATATAAGTGCTTGCCGGTTTCAACAACACGAATGATATCGTAGTTGTCTGATATCGATCGGAACGTCGTTTCCTTGTTGATCGTACGAAGGAATGCAGAGTTAAGTCCAGTTTCACACCTTAGGTTGTGGATCTCATTCAGACTCTCATTCGCACAAATTACTCACATGGGGGACCATGGTCCGTGCCCCCCACCCCCCTCCCCCTTAGCATTTGCTCACGACAACACAACAGCCACGAGACAAAATTCTTACACAAATCAAACCGGACCCGCGTCGGAGACGGAGAGCGAGCGCCGCGTGGCGAGGAGAAACCTCACCGATCGTCCGGGCGGAGGCTCGATATAGTTGACGGGCAGCAGCGTTGAACCGTACAGAGCCAGCACCTCCTCGTCCGACACCTTGGAAAGCCCCCTGCAAAAGGGGAGAGGCATGTGACCATCTAGCGTTGTGGATGAACCGATGGCGACCGCGTCGGCCTAAGCAGTATCGCGTTTTAAACGAGTGCCCCAATCTACGCATTGCAGCCCAGTGCCGTCTATTGAACGGGCTCCGAATACAGAGTAATACGCACAGACTCGTGTCTGACGCCTTTTAATGGACCCAGGCGGGTTAATCCGACATAGCAGACAGGCGCACAGCAATAAAGAGACAGGTGCCAATTAAGCGCCTCGCGCGGGCTCTGAAGACAGACCACAGCGAACAAAGCGAACGAGGGGACCCGTCAGGGGCGAAGAGCACGGCGGTGGCAGGTGCGAGATGGCGCGTGCCTCAGCCCAAGTTATTGGCTAAAACTCGCAGGAGGCCTTAACAGAAAGGCGTTTGGTATATGCTGTTGGAACTGATTTATACCGTGGGTCAGCTGGTCCCACGATGTAAGCGTGTTTTGGCTGGGCTTTGTCTGAAATCAGGCTTCACGAGGTGCTGAACTGCAAGTAGAATAACCAAAAGGAGTACTACGAGTAGAAAAACCAAGAGTGCAGCGCTTCTTGACATAATACGGCAGTTAAAATGCAATGTCTCAGACGTATATAACCAACCAAGTTCCATTCATTTTACATCCACAACCAAGACGCATTAAGAAAGCACCGTAGCCCTTCAGGATGCCTGTAGTATGCGATCTGGAAGAAAGCTTTCGCGGAAAAGTGCAAAAACAGAAATATCAAGCTAGTTTACGGCGTTAAAAGCGCATCAACTAAGAGGAAGGGGAACGAAAACGAAGTCTCTAACTTTGTGATTTGTGAAATTATCCCACTGGCATGGCGTGGTACGAACACTTGGAACGGGAGGCCCTCCTACCTCCAATTTCCCAACATTCTGCACGTGGTGGAGCCTGTGTGTGAAAGGAGCAAGGCACGGGCTATGGTAAACGCTAGCGCGCAGCGTTTAGAGCAAAGATAATCAGCGCAGTTGACACGCCCTTAACGGTCAATAATTCACTGGCCAAGCATAGATGTGAGAATTAGACAATAAAGGCGTCCCATTTGGTAACCATGCCCGACGGCGATGTCATATTTTCGTGTCAATACTTACAAAGACTGACATAAAGAACACCTAGCCTGCCCCGCTTATACCGAGGTCATGTAGGGTGCCGAGCCATGCCCGGAAAGGTCACGCCTCCCCAGCCGGAGCTCTCATCACTTGACCTCGGCGCCATATTCCGCTGCCGACCGAGTTTCCATAAAACACAGCAATCAGCCGGCGTCGATCTGAGGGATTGTCTGGACACCATGATCCCGTGTTGGCAGCCCAGTGCTCGCTCCACTCGGTAGCGGCGCCAGCATTTCATGGTTCGATCAGCTTTCTCCGCCGACTGCGGAGTCCGGCCCCGTAAAGCATGCCCTAACTCGTGCTGAACACGGGAGTGCCCGCTGGCCGACCTGCCGGCCGTTTGAGGTGCGATCTAACGGCCGTGTTTGTTGGTTGGGCGGGCTGTGCTGCAGGTCCAATTGATTCAGACCGGTCGATATACAACCATAAACATCCCCCAGCATCTGGTCGACAATGGACTGCATCTCCCGGCGATAAGCAGCCTACTAAGCACAACCCGTGCTCAATTAACCTGATTTTCCCGAGGCAGAGGCAACGCAAACCATAGCAACGGTGACGGTTCGCGCAGTGGAACTGCGATCTCAGATGCCAAGTCGCATATTGTCATAGCCATGAGACGAACAGGAACGGAAACCACATCCTGCAAATATCAGATAGATGAAGGAGCAGTGACAGTGAAAGTCGATGACTCGAGCAGCCTGTGACGTCGGCCATAGCGGATCAAATAGTCATGCAGCTGCGTTCCAGAAAGGCTCGCTGGGAAACGAATGCGATATAAAATGTTGGTGTCACGGTACTGACAGTCAATACAGAGTCAGCACCGGCAGTACTGACGCGGGTGGGATGACCATGACGGACTTTGCCATTAAATGGAAATGGCCGCTTGCACCGAAACTATTAAAGCCGGTGCAAAGGAGCCTACTGAAGCCGCTGCAAGTAAATATTTGGAAACCGTTACACGGGAATCCATTGAAACCGGTACAAGCGAATATATTAAAGCCGGTAGAAAAGAATCTATTAAAGCCGGTACAAGTCAATCTATTACAGCCGATGTAAGTGAATATATCGAAGCCGGTACAAGTCAATATATTAAGATGGTATAAGTGCCGATACCATCCAAACATCACGCACCTCGAGCTGCAATATGCATGCGTCCATATTCGTGCTGGTACAGTACCAGTGTCAGTTCCACGGCAAGTACGGTATCCGTATGAGGTTACGTCCTAATCCTAATAAGGTTACGAGCTCTGCAATTCCTAAAATCTCCCACAACCAATTTGGAAATTGGACGGACAGGACAAAAATCTATGCAACTTTTTGGAGAGCCGATAATATTCTGCCGTGTTGCAAGTTGGTGTGCATCTCAACTTATTTAATGTTTCTCGTTTTCAAACCAATTTGATGCTTGAACATCGACAAGGCATTATTAGAGTACACTAGAAAACACTTCCTGGAAATATGACATAAAAAGTTTCTGACATCCGGGCATCGATAAGGGCATCAATGGAAAGGTATCGATGTTAATGTCTTCGGGAGGGGATACTTATTGCTCACCCAGTTACTTTTCGTTACCACTCCCATCCGACTAAGCGACCGTCATCTAGCTCACTGATAGTCAGGCTTAGATGCTAATTGTGAATTGTGGATGTTTCCACGAAAGCCTGTGCTGTCCATGACTTACTCAAAATTATTTTCGTTATTTTCGTTCGATTCGGTAAAGGAAATGCAGCGACGTGCGTAGTTACTGGGATTGCTGGCCGCAGCTAGGATTATTTTGTTCTTCAATATTGCAATTTTTCGATAATCTAATTTTTGGACGCTTTTTGGATGGCCAGCTGTTCCCTGTTCTCTGGATTGAACTCTGGACAAGAACCTCCAGAAAACAGCGCCTCTGATCCCGCGCAGGCCCGGGCACGCACCCCCGATCGCGCCTCTGATGCCCCGCAGGCCCGGGCACGCACCCCCCATCGCGCCTCTGATACCCTACAGCAGGCCCGGGCACGCACCCCTGGCCGCGCCTCTGATACCCTACAGCAGGCCCGGGCACGCACCCCCGGCCGCGCCTCTGATACCCTACAGCAGGCCCGGGCACGCACCCCTGGCTGCGCCTCCGCGGTCACGGAAACGGCGCCCCCCGCGGCGCCCGCTGTCCAACTAGGCCACCTACTGACCTGGGCTGCAATAGTATCAGCCGAAAGGATCGGACGCCGCCGCCGCCGGATCGCAGCAGACGGAGCGCCGGCGGCGGCGGCGCCGCGCGTGCCCCGATCAGACGGGCTATCAGGGGAACAGCGGCGCCCGCCGGCACCGGATCGCGTCTGCCTGCCACGGCGGCTGGTGCAGCCGCTGTCCGGCCGGCATAGGCGCGTCCAGGCACATTGCACGGGGGTCGAACACTCATTAAATGTTGAGGAGACGGGACAAGTTTGCTGGGAAGACAATGGTAATGTGCGAAAGGCAGTCCGCTGTAGCGCTTTTGCAGCATTTTACTAAAGCCGCTACAACTTCCGCTGCTGCTGCTACCGACTGCGGTGTGGTGAGGGTAGGGCTCCTTTTGACCACTGCATTATTCACGGGGAACGGGTGGCGATTTGATCAGGCAGCAGCCAGTGTTGGATTGCGGGGAGATGGGGAGATGAGACGCCTTACAAGGCTGCAAACCGCAGACAACTGCCCGTAAACCGAGGGAGTTTAATCGCTCTTTTAGTGTTCCCAGAGGACCTCAAAATAAATCGAGAAGAAAATTGCCACCCCAGTCAAGGTTAACAGCGCGGTCAGTGCGGTTTCAATGATTTGGAAAATCAGCAGAGCTCTTTGTAAATTAAGGCACCGAGAAACGGCACCTTCCGTGGGCGAAGCTAGTTGGAAAATTAGTTGGTGCAACTACCGACACCAACCAAACAAAATCGTCGATTCGCAGGCGTGGAAGCAGAAGACGGGAAACAGCCAATTGACCAAAGCTTCAACAATTTGACACATCCTTTAGCGGCCAGCTTCGAAGTCCAGCAAAAGCTGTGAAGCGGAATACGCTGATTCTATTTCGTCCCTTTTCCCTGATACGGACAAAAGCTATTTACTTTTCTTCACATCGATTTGATCTATGTCAAAAATGATATCCGAACTACAATAACAGCCATCCTTGAAGAAGTGCCTGGCAGTATAATGTCTCACTAGCACCCACGTGCACACCGCATTTCAAAGACGTTTCGTGTTGCAGGCTCGTATTTCACGCGCCAGTGTACCGTCCAGGGCTGAGTGCGATTCTGCGTCCGGTAGCGACGGTGTGAGACAGGCCGGGTCGGGTCGGCACGGGCCGCCAGTGTACCGCCCGCAGCCGAGTGCGATTCTGCGTCCAGTAGCGACGGTGTGCGACAGGCCGGTGATAGGACGGTCGGGTCGGCACCGACCGCCAGGTCAATAGCCAGTTGACGGAGAGCAGCGGAGGTGCACCTTTCACGGCAGATAAATGTGAAACATGAGACACACTCCTTCTTTTGTTCTTTGTGCCGACTTCATGCGTAACGTAGCGCTGGCGTGATTATAAAAATACTTAACACAGTAGATCTGGTAAGAAATCAAAAAGATATTGCAACATACCTTGACGTTTCGAACACCTCCTTTTGCACAATCAGGACCCGCCAAATTTTTGGCATGACGAGTTCCAAACTGCAGGTCCCGTTGTCTGGCTGTATCTATATCCAGTGTAAGCGAGGCTACAAATGACACAATAAGACATCTGGTCCTCATCGCTACGCTTGAAAAGTCCCCCCCCCGAGTACTTTACCGATACCGTAGCATTACTGTGCGTCACACATGAAGGACACGAGGTGAGGACGGAAACTGCTTCGACGTTTAGACATCCCCTCATATGCTTTGAAACGGTATTAGAGCGTAACAAAATATCACCGCAATAAATTTCACAGATACTCTGGCATAAACCATAACAGAACCTGAGGACGACTATATTTCGGCGCGACAACACTTAGACCCAATGGCACAACGTCGTTAAAACGCAGCGGCTGCCGAAGAACTACAATCACTAGACGGTACCAGCCCAGTAAAGAATCATCAAGCTGCAAGCCATGAATATAAGGCAAGTAGCTCTCTCTGCTGTGTCCCAAAGGTCTCGGATTTTTACTGAAGATCGAGAACTTAAGTCCTGGTTTCCAGATTTTCTGGAATCTAACATGTGTGATCCATTTCTACTAATCGGCACCTTGCGTCTCTGGATCCAATTCAAATTGTTGACAGCGGATCCTTCATGTTCACGATCTTCATCATAATTCTGCAGAAGCATTATTCGGTATCCAGGGTTAATCTTGCAACAGTTTTTGGAAGTCTTTAAAATCTATGAGGGCTCATTTTAGAAGATATCTTCATCACACTATACCCCCGAAATGGGCTTATGATGTCTGCACTTCCAAAAGTGAGACTCAAATTTTCACAATAGCTCAACGAGTTGTGGCAGATCTACAACACTTCTGAGCCGAGATCAAGCCCTCAAAACCCACGTAGAAGTTATCTACGAATGATGCCTACAGCGATGTGACTGCGCACACCTACACCCAGGCAAGCATGTTTGATGTCGGGATCCAAACGGATATGAAAAAATGGATCTAACAAAGAGGTTTTCTGCGGTGTTTCCAAAGCATTTACGAGGCACGTACACATACACAATATTTTGAACGTTTTTTACCGCGTGCAAATGTGGATAAATGCACAACAGTCTCAGCCTTTTTCCCCAGCTTCCTTCACAAGGTTATATTATGTAACCCAGTCCGGGGGGGGGGGGGGTCACCGCCTAATAGGCGACAAATGTGCCGCGCCTAACCGAAAAAAATGTACTACCAACCAAAGGCCCTTGGTCTCCCAAGATCCCAACTTGTCTCGAACCCTAAAGCATACATTATTTGTTGAATTGAGGCCGTATGGCGCGTTGTAACAAAAAATTTCCGGCATCCAGCATGTTTTTGCCTCTCGGGGAGATCAGTTTTTTTTAATCGGTTGTGCTGCTAGAAACGCTATTTCATAAGCAAACAGTCTCTCGGCATGCATCATTGAGAGGTCCTCTGGGACACGGAATGCATTATTCTCATCCAAACAAGTGGCTGTGTCTCAAATCTGAGGGTCTATCTTTACCCCCAAAAAATAGATCACGGGCGGGGATCTTTGTGTCACAAGCTACCCCTCTACTCACATCACCAGATCGTCATGCGTACATGTAGCATCACCATTGAAAAATTACATACAGGTGACATTGCTGCCACGGGCGGGGATCTTGTGCACAAATACCAAGATACAACTTCCCAAAATAACAACAATTCGTGGACATATTGCGTATGGTCCCGATTAGCCACAAACCAGATTTGTTGCAATTGTAAGATTATCTCATTCGAACATCTTGAATTTTTCGGAGAAGTCGGAAACGACCTCAATTGACTTTCGGTTGTTGATAGTAAATGTAAATGTTTGTAAATATTGGCCTCCCATGTCCCACAGACCCCACAAGCATGCCACCGCCGTACCCAGTACGGTATATGAGTACCAGGAAGCATGAGGAGCCGCCCATGCGCAGGATATAGGCCAGATCTGATCGCATGGGGGCCAGGCCGGCGCCCCGGTCTGCTCGATGGAACGCGCTGCCCCGTATATAAGCCACAGCCCCCGTCCAGTCTTCACAGAGCGGCCAGCTTCCTCTCACTGGTGGTGTATCGGTCGGTTCCACGCATCGGTCCTCACTCAAGATGAAGGTGAGGCGAGAGATACCAAAACACAAAACAGGGTGACAGCATGCCTGAGTTGCCCCCGGCCCTACTTTTAAACCAGAGCATGCTCCCCAAAAACATAATATGTGTACTGGGTCTCATGTATACCTGCAAAAAGTTATACGCTCACTATTTTTTGTACAGCATGAAGCAACAGCGACTGTCATTGTATCGGGCAAGCGTGCTTTCTTCTTTCAAAAGGGAAAGCAACGCACATCGCCACGAGCACCCCCGGCGCAGGTGGTCAGGTGGTCCGGTCCGTGTGTTCCAGGTATTCATAGCTGTACTGCTGGCGGCGTCCGTGTCGGCTGACCGACGGCGTTCTCCCGCTCGGCTGTACCGGCCGCTGTCCCGGTACGTCGCCCAGCACGCGGGCACGGCTGAGGTCTATAAGGCTCCAGAGCACAGCTATCCCGCACCTAAGGAGACCTACAAAGCCCCGGAGCCCACCTACGCTGTTCCTGTAGAAGCCTACAAAGCCCCTGAGCCCACCTATGCTGCTCCTGTAGAAGCCTACAAAGCCCCGGAGCCCACCTATGCTGCTCCTGTTGAAGCATATAAAGCCCCGGAGCCTATCTATGCTGCTCCTGCCAAAGCCTACAAAGCCCCTGAACCCACCTACGCTGCTCCTGTTGAAGCCTACAAAGCCCCGGAGCCCACCTACGCTGCTCCTGTAGAAGCCTACAAAGCCCCGGAGCCCACCTATGCTGCTCCTGTTGAAGCCTACAAAGCCCCGGAGCCCACCTATGCTGCTCCTGTTGAAGTCTACAAAGCCCCTGAGCCCACCTATGCTGCTCCTGTTGAAGCCTACAAAGCCCCTGAGCCCACCTATGCTGCTCCTGTTGAAGTCTACAAAGCCCCGGAGCCCACCTATGCTGCCCCTGTAGAAGCCTACAAAGCCCCGGAGCCCACCTATGCTGCTCCTGTGGAAACCTACAAAGCCCCGGAGCCCACCTATGCTGCTCCTGTGCAAACCTACAGAGCCCCGGAGCCCACCTATGCTGCTCCTGTTGAAGTCTACAAAGCCCCGGAGCCCACCTATGCTGCTCCTGTTGAAGTCTACAAAGCCCCGGAGCCCACCTATGCTGCTCCTGTTGAAGCCTACAAAGCCCCGGAGCCCACCTATGCTGCTCCTGTGGAAACCTACAAAGCCCCGGAGCCCACCTATGCTGCTCCTGTGGAAACCTACAGAGCCCCGGAGCCCACCTATGCTGCTCCTTTTGAAGTCTACAAAGCCCCGGAGCCCACCTATGCTGCTCCTGTTGAAGTCTACAAAGCCCCGGAGCCCACCTATGCTGCTCCTGTTGAAGCCTACAAAGCTCCGGAGCCCACATATGCTGCTCCTGTGGAAGCCTACAAAGCCCCGGAGCCCACCTATGCTGCTCCCGCTGAAACCTACCAAGCCCCGGAACCCACTCACGTCAAAGCCCATAAAGCCCCTCAGCCAACCTATGCTGCTCATATCAAGGCCTACAAAGTTCCGAAATCCACCTATGCTGATCCTGTCGGGGCCTACAAAGCCCCTGACGCTGCATATGCTGCCCCTGTTAACGCATACAAAACATCCAAGCCCAACCATCCTGCTCTGAAGGAGGCCTACCATGGCCCGAAGAAGACGTACGAAGCCTCAGAAGACGCCCTTGAGGAGGTGGACACCTATCAGTCACCGAAGGAGGCGAAATACCACAAGGTAAGATCTGTTGCTGCGCCGTTCAAGTGCTCTGCTATAACATCTCTGACTCAAATACATTTAAGATGCATGTCCCTGGCCTAGCACAGTTTGGCATGTAATTTGGTTAATGCTGGCAGTTGTCACCAGTGCTCAACAGCTGATGATTTCGAGTAGCCGTCAATCTCATTGGCATAAGTTGGCTTGCAAACCATTTTAACGCCAATGTCAATGATTTCTCGTTATGCGCTGTTCAGAAAGTACAGCAAGTAGAAGTGCTGTAGTAACGTAAGCGCAATATTACAACGTCGCATTAACCGCCGCGGTCTGCGGAGTTCTCACGTCCTTTTCTTCTCCCGCTGCGTAGGCACTAGCCCAGTACCAATACCGGTACGCAGTCTCCTCCGGGGAGGATTTGAGGTACGAGGCCGAGGAGGCGCGTCAGGGGGCGCTGGCGCGCGGCTTCTACCAGGTGCTGATGGCCGACGGCCGGACCCAGCACGTGCAATACCGGGTGGACGGCGACTCGGGGTACGTGGCCCATGTGACGTACCGGGGCGAGACCGCGCACCCGGAGTATGGCCCGAAGGAAATGAACGGCGGAGAGGCGGGCCAGGCGGAGCACAGCGGCGGCACGGTAGCGTATCTGCCGGCTGCAGCAGTGTACTGATTTGTCAGTTCGAGGCCGGCACGATGATGACTGGAAGTGGCAAATGGGGATGGTATCCCAGATGATGGTAGGGCAAAAGCGATTTACAGTAGGTGTCTGAAAGCTGTGTGCTTGTATTTATTGGCGCGTCTGTCGACGACCCTGACATGAGGGTAAAACTGTTTTACTTGGAAGAGATGTCTTCACTTTTAGACAGGGTCGCGTCTGTCTACAATTATTACGCTGTACGTTTTATGTGATGAGTACATGGTGCCCTGTGCATGGTGAATGATTTCAATCACCAATGTGGTTTCTTGATAATATATATCAATATAAAGAATGATGCATTTATTTCATTGCAAGTTTTGAAACAGCAGAAACTATTCCTAAAAGGTACAAACAAATGGATAAAATTATCCTTCCTCAACAAAAATACTGAGTAAGTCAGATTGGCTATGTCACTGCCACTTTATGAATGCAGTGCCTGTAAAACAAAGAGATTTACTGAAACTATAATGAAATGTGTTTTGCATCACAGAAGATTTCACTGTGGGTCTGCTGTCATCTCAGCCAGATGTCTCACCTGTAGACAGATCCCAGCTGAATCTGGTTGAAGGAGTCCACTTTGAGAAGAAGGCCTTTTTGAATGTCATAGTGCAGACCTCTAACAGCAAAGTTGGGTAAATATTGTAGGTTGCTGACCTCTTGGGGATACTGGAAAGAAAAATGCAAACAACTTATCTATGAACAGCTTAACCCATGTACCTAAATCCTGACTAAGCACAGATGTTCTGTGCACATCTTAAGTCAAAAGACACTGTAGCATCAGATATCAAAATGTAATACAGAGCACATCATGATACAAAACAGGAGAGGAAACACCCACATGCACCTCATATATATATATATATATATATATATATATATATAATGATTATATATATACATACATATATATATATATATATATATATGTATATTATGATTTAATTTGACATCTGTAAAAAGTTTCCAATACACAAGGAAACACATTTACCACTGTGATACACTGAAAATACCCCTTTTCATTGATCTTGTTGTATTATGTCTTAAAACCATGGCTGTAGAAATAAATCTGGTATGCTTTGTCTCATATGTGTGGTAGCTCACTTTTCATCCTAAATCATCTAAGAATCCTGTGCTGCATCATCACAAAACTACAATATAGATCAACTCAAGGAAACACATGTTTGTACCTTGTATTGTTCCACCAGTGCTTGTTTGCCCAGGTCATATATAAGATGGTGCATAGCAGGCTTATAGTCTGCCAGAGTGTAGTCATAATCAAACCCGTAGGTGTTGATATGGCTCAGATGCAACTCATTGGTAGCAAATACTGCCCGTGAGTTCACATCTGGAGGGGGCTTCTTGGCTGCAGAGAAACACAGATTGATCACAATGAGACATTATGGCTGTTAACATAAACTTGTGTACAAATCTAAACATCTAAGAGCTCATGCATACAATAAAACAAGAAAAAACTATTAAGGCTTTCATGGGAAATTGTTTAATATCAACCATTTGTATTACTATCATGTGACACACATAAGCATGGTGGGTTGAGATATTGTGTACAATTTGCAATGGCAACTATCAAAACAATGAATGGAAAACCACATTTGAATCGTTTCAAATCTACATTAGGGTCCATTAAGTGATAAGAAGAAAAACCAAATTACCTTGCTCACAAATTGTAGAATAACTAATCAATATCCCACAGCTATACATAAACACATTGCTGACATGCAAACAATAAAAATACAGGTACTTTATTAGGCAACAAGTTTACAACAGCGAAGAACTACATACAGTAGCATATCCTCTTCGCCTCTCCGTAGGCATCGATGAGATTTCTGGGTTCATGCGTAGAGACGCGTCTCCTGCCGCAAAATGGTGCGGCTGAAAGAACCGAGCCGACCCGTTCTACTTTGACGAACCTGTGAACCATAGCCAGCAGCATCTTAACCCCTGATTTTGTGCTTAACTGTGACTGAAATGTAAAATCTATAAAAGTGCACCCATCCCTGCCAGATACTTCAGTCCATCGAAGTGGCAACTGTGTCGAATAACGCGTAACATTTTGTCGCAAATGCGCCATTTATGCCAGCAAATAATTGGCAGCAGTCAGCTGCTCATCGAGTTTATTCTTCGCCACAAGATGCCATTGGTATGAAACACCTTGTTCCGCGGCGCGAGCGACCTGCAATCGCGCTGGCGTCGTCTGGATCTGCAATGAGACTGTTACGCATTGTTCTGTTCTGCCATTGGACCGTTCTGCTTTATTCTGGTCTGCAATGGGGTTGTTCTTTAGCCCAGCGTTAAGCCTCGATACGAAGATTGCCTACGCAACCGTCGGAACATGAGTGTCTGTTCGGGAGCTTCCCAGTTCCGTTGAATAATTCTACATAATTCCCTTTCGACTAACTCGATACCTCGGTGAATGATGGTTTATTCAATGTGAACAAACTACGTGATGAAGTCGGTACAAACTACGCAGACCATTTGTGTGGCACCATATACAAACCACACAGTTGATCTTACTACGCCACGCGAGCGCAATTACTAAGATGCTGTGTGCCTGCACACAATGAACATTTCATTTCGTCTATATGAATGCACACAGCTTCCTCACCAAAGTAGGCAACCGTACGAACAAGATGGGTTCGTTTACGCGCGTCATTACATTAACAGGTAGTTTACAAAGCACGCACCAGCCTGCTAGGCCAATCACACCGCCACACTGTCCAGTCGAGCCGATGCATCGCCCACAGCACGACGCCGTTCGTGCTGACCACACCACACAACACAGCACTGACCACTCGGGCGGGGTCGCCACCGCCCGGCACACGTGCCGCGGGGCTCGTCCGGCAGCGGCCCGCCGTCCTGTCTTTGTACCAATACGCCGCGCGCCCGCCTACCGCGGCGCCGGCCTCGCGGAGTCCGACTGCACGTCTGTGTGCCGCTAACGCCGGGAGCGTCATGCCGATCCTGTTGGCGTCTGATGACGAGCACCAGGGCGGCCGCCGGGGCCTCCTGACGTCCGCTGCCGTGAGGGGCGTGCCCGGCGGCCGGGGCGGGGTCACCGCCCTGCCCGAGCGGAGACCCGCCGGTCACGTGACCCTGCCCGGACCGCCGGGCCGTCTGCCCGCGGCCGGCGGCTGCCAGCGGCCGCGGACGGCGACCGGCCGCAGCCCAGCCGCTCTGGCGCGTTACTCGACGGAGACACCGGCCGCTTCCCCCAGTCACCAGGTGACGCGTTTCCCCTCCTGCCGCCCCACGGCCGGCACGCTCGGAGAGCCGCGGCATGCCCGGCGCAGCCCGGCCGCGCTTGCCGCTCAGAAGTAGAGGCCACCGCCGTCGTCGTCGTCGTCGGCCGGCTCCCGCTTCACGCGGCCCCGCTCGTCGTCCTCGCCCTCGCTGTCTGATATCTGGGGAGCGGCGGGGTCAGGTCAGGTCAGGTCGGGTCACAGCAGCGACGCCGCCTCGCGGGATGGTGGACACGGGCTGCACTTCGATTTAAATTGCAGACTCTAACGACCATGCAGTGGTTCCATGCGAACTGTAAAAAAGTCGCCGTCATTCCGTTCCATTCCGGAACGACGCAAGGAAACTGCTCGCCCGTTACATGGACAGTTTAATCTCACACGACCACCAATATTTGCAGCAGTCGCTAGTCCCTGACAGAGCGGAAACAAACGCTCGATAACCACCGAACCGCGGGCAGACGTCCGTCGGAGGTGGCGCCACCAACCTGGAGATCGCTGTGGATGCGGCTGCTGTTGGCGGCACCCTCTGGCGCGTGCGGTGCGCTGCGGCTCTCGCGGGCCGACGAGAGGCCGTACAGGAAGGCAGACGGGTCGTAGCTGGGGTCGAAGTCCTCGCTGTCGTCTGCGGGGCAGCTGGGGCGTCACGCTTGCCACGCGGGGCGCACGTGACAATGAAGACGGGCGGCTAGCGCTAAGCTGTGCAAGCGCTCGCAGGACGAGAAATAAAATCTAGCTGAGACTGAATTTGGCGAAATGTTGGCCAAGCCTTGGACAGGGGTGCAAAGCAGAGCACATCTGCGTACTGTACCTTATGTACCTAGCTGAGATCCGGTGCCCGTAGCTTAGCTGGCATCCAAGTACTTCCATCCAAACGACTCAAACATAGCCAGATCAAAACCTCAATCATTCCCAGAACGCACAAAGCTATGTTTTTCGCACATGACATGACATCCAAAGACAGGCCTCAAACCCCTGATTCTGGAGCCAGCAGCTTCGGCGACTACTCCCCGCCAGGTCCGCTGCCACCGGAGAGCGGCTCGACTGACCGTGCTCCTCCTCCTGCGGCAGCTCCAGCAGCATCGGCTCGTCGCCGCCCACCTCCGAGGCGTCCATGTCGTCCTGGCCGTGCTCCAGGCCGGCCATCTGGTCCTCCTCGTCGCTGTACTCCAGGTCTGGTGGCAGACGGGGCGGGGTCAGGCGCACAGGACAGTGCAGAGCCGCGGCGGCCACGGCGCGGGGCGGGACTCACGCCGGCTCCCGCGCTCCACTCGCTTGTGGATGGGCCCACAAAAAAATGGCCGTCTGCATCGCTACGAGATGAGCGCCGAATGTCAGCATAAAAATGCCAGCAACAAAGAACGACCGAGAGCGCCATGCACTTCACCGACTACACTATTTCCAACCAGCTTCAGCGGGTTTCAGAACGCCCTGCTGGCACATGACAGCTTGGTGTTGATTCCCAAACTAACGCTGAATGTTAAGACACGTTTTATGCCCTCACCCGCTGGCGGCGGTTGCTGTCGTAGGGCGAGCGTTGCCTTTCATCGCTGATGTCTTATCACCCGTATCACAACGCCGTCACAGACCGTTAAAAAACAATTTCATATCAAAAGCTTACTAACGATTCAAGCTAACCGCGGCTTCAGTTGCTTGTCCATTTCCGAGCCTTAGCCCGCAGCTTTGGGGCGGACACGAACCCCGGGCTACGCACCCCACCCCGACCCACCACGCCAGACCACCCACGCCACCACGCTGCGCCGTCTCCGTCGCCCGACTGACCCTCCTCGAGCGTGCGGCTGCGCTTGGCACGCGGCTCCGACCCGACGTCGTCGTCCTCCGTGGGCGTGACCCGGCCGGTGCCTTCGGACAGGTGCGACTCGTCGTCCATGTTGATCGAGCCCGTGCCGAGCGAGTCGTTGTCGGCGTTCTCGAGGGCGCGCTGCTGCGCCGCCGCGATGTTCGCCTCCAGACTGCGCAGGTCGTCCTCGTACTGCCAGCACGCAGGGCGGCGGGGCGGACGGGTCACACGCGCGTCCGGGACGGCGGCTGGCGGGCAGCGACGGGGCATACCAGCGGCCGGCCTCGTCAGCGCGTGGGCGATCACAGCACCTCGGTGGCCGACGACGGACTGCCAGCGGTTCCGCGAGCGCCGCACGCGAGGTCGCGCAATCATGTCCGGAATGACGCGGGCTCTGCTGCCTGAGCTCGCTTTGACGCGCTCTGCTCCAGACCGCCAGAACGACACGTCAGCTAACTCTGAGCTGTCCTTACTGATGTTATCCCTCAAGTTTCTCTGCGCCTTAGTACACCACAGTGCACCGCGGCACCTTAGTACGCTACATCTTCCTACAATGCATTACTGCGCAGTTTCTATGCGCTTTACACGCCTCGACTGCATCCTTCCACTACACGAATACAGAAATGTTTCCCAACAAATTCCACGTCACCTTGCAGTGCTACGCTACCACAACAGTGGATCAGTGCATACCTCAAATAACGAATAAATGCACAACTCAAATACGCACTCTGCCGTCTAAAACTCCGCTAGTCCACCGATCCCCCACACTTCGGCCCTACTACAACAGGGCACGGCTTCAGAGCACCACGCAGGCTCTGTCGTCAGAGCTGACCTTCTCGACGGTCGACTTGACGGCGTCCACCAGTGCCTGCGCCTTCTCCGAGAACGACGACTCCTTGCCGTTGTAGGTGACACAGTTCTCCAGCAGCAGCTCGAAGTCGGCCACGAACTCGCGGCTCGAGTGGTACTTGTGCGCTGTGGACCGGGCGCAACGACGGCCTTACATGCGGCAAACACAACTACACGTGGTCACGGACACACTAACACCTGGCGGAGGACCAGCCCGAGCGACTCCCGACGGGGCTGGAGCGATGGCCTCTAGCGAGGGGACCCGAGCACGTGTACACACCAGAACTACTACAGAACTACCAGACGGAGGAACAGCCTGAACGACTCACGACGGGGCTGGAGCGATGGCCTCTAGCGAGGGGACCCGAGCACGTGTACACACCAGAACTACTACAGAACTACCAGACGGAGGAACAGCCTGAACGACTCCCGACGGGGCTGGAGCGATGGCCTCTAGCGAGGGGACCCGAGCACGTGTACACACCAGAACTACTACAGAACTACCAGACGGAGGAACAGCCTGAACGACTCACGACGGGGCTGGAGCGATGACCTCTAGCGAGGGGACCCGAGCACGTGTACACACCAGAACTACTACAGAACTACCAGACGGAGGAACAGCCTGAACGACTCACGACGGGGCTGGAGCGATGGCCTCTAGCGAGGGGACCCGAGCACGTGTACACACCAGAACTACTACAGAACTACCAGACGGAGGACCAGCCCGAGCGACTCCCGACGGGGCTGGAGCGATGGCCTCTAGCGAGGGGACCCGAGCACGTGTACACACCAGAACTACTACAGAACTACCAGACGGAGGAACAGCCTGAACGACTCACGACGGGGCTGGAGCGATGACCTCTAGCGAGGGGACCCGAGCACGTGTACACACCAGAACTACTACAGAACTACCAGACGGAGGAACAGCCTGAACGACTCCCGACGGGGCTGGAGCGATGGCCTCTAGCGAGGGGACCCGAGCACGTGTACACACCAGAACTACTACAGAACTACCAGACGGAGGAACAGCCCGAGCGACTCACGACGGGGCTGGAGCGATGGCCTCTAGCGAGGGGACCCGAGCACGTGTACACACCAGAACTACTACAGAACTACCAGACGGAGGAACAGCCTGAACGACTCACGACGGGGCTGGAGCGATGACCTCTAGCGAGGGGACCCGAGCACGTGTACACACCAGAACTACTACAGAACTACCAGACGGAGGACCAGCCCGAGCGACTCCCGACGGGGCTGGAGCGATGGCCTCTAGCGAGGGGACCCGAGCACGTGTACACCAGAACTACTACAGAACTACCAGACGGAGGAACAGCCTGAACGACTCACGACGGGGCTGGAGCGATGGCCTCTAGCGAGGGGACCCGAGCACGTTACACACACGGAGAAAGCCTGACGACCACGACGGGTGAGCATACTCTGCGAGGGGACCGAGCCGTGTCCCCAAACTACTCGACTACAGACGAGAAACTGAACGACTCACGACGGGCGAGCGATGACCTCTAGCGAGGGGACCCGAGCACGTGTACACACCAGAACTACTACAGAACTACCAGACGGAGGAACAGCCTGAACGACTCACGACGGGGCTGGAGCGATGACCTCTAGCGAGGGGACCCGAGCACGTGTACACACCAGAACTACTACAGAACTACCAGACGGAGGAACAGCCTGAACGACTCACGACGGGGCTGGAGCGATGACCTCTAGCGAGGGGACCCGAGCACGTGTACAGACCAGAACTACTACAGAACTACCAGACGGAGGAACAGCCTGAACGACTCACGACGGGGCTGGAGCGATGACCTCTAGCGAGGGGACCCGAGCACGTGTACAGACCAGAACTACGTGCGAGCTTCTTAATCTTGAACGCAGTTCACGTAGGGTCCTCCAGCATGAAGCGTTGCACATGGCGGGTCGGTGGGTGGGAGCACGTCAAAGCTATGGGCTTCTACCTCGCTCTCAAAACCGACACTCACACAGCGGCCTGGCATTCCCTCAAGAAGGACAAGACTGTCTCGGTGGCACGAGCGCCGCCCGGAGACCAGCCGCAGCAGTCAGGCACGTACATTTGACCTTCTTCTCGATAGTCTCGATGTCAACCGGCTGCTTGATGACGGCGTAGTAGTCCTTGACCAGCTTTCTGTTGACGGGCCGCAGGAACGGCCACGACTCCTGCATCGTCTTCACCTTCTCGTTGACGATCCGCTCCAGAATGTAGGTCAGCCCCACCTGCGGGCGCAGGGAGCGGCCGTTGTTAGACGTGCACATACCCGCCAGAGGTCAACGTCACCGGTCAACACAGCCATATAGGCCACTCGTGTCCGAGCACTCCAACAAATCAGTCAAAACGGTCACACAGCATGGATGAGACCACACCCTACAATCTTATACAGCCGTTTAATGGTTGAACGTCACACGGATTCTAGCTCGTAACACATGCTGCTCTTCTATCCCTTTCAACATTTAACATGAACATCCCGTCGATGACGCGCTGCCTCCAAGCATGCCATACCAACATTCCCCGTATCCTTACCCAGCGGCGCGGGCGTCATCGACACCACCTGACACGTGGCCAGCCTTGGCCCACACCTCAGTGGTCCTCAAACCACCGGAGAGCTCCACAGTCGGCGCTTAGCCACCCCGTTAGCCACCCCACCTGGACATCACGGACATGCATGCAACGTGCCCTCATGCCAGGCACGACGGGCCAGCATGGCGCATGGCCGCCGGTTAGCTGCACCATGACCGGCTCTAAACCCGCCCAAGAGGTGCGCACGGTCGGGGTGCCCACCTGGTCGTCGTCGTCCAGCAGCGGGTTGATGGCCTTCTCCAGCTTCATCAGCCGGTCCTCCTTCTCGGCGAACCAGTCGATCAGGTGGTTGCGCATCTTCTCCGCCGTCAGCGTCAGCACCGACTTGGCGCCGTTGTAGAGCTTGGAGTTCTCCACGATCTGGCTGACGTCAGCAAGGAACTCCTCGCGGCTCTGGTACTTCTTCTGGCGCAAGTTCTCGCGGATCGTCTGCAGGTCCATCGGCCGCTGGATGATCTTGTAGTAGTCCGGCACCGTCTGTAAGGGCGAGAGGGAACGGCGTGGATCTGGTGCTCCTTCAACGACGGATGGCTCCGCGGGTACAACTAGTGCATAGCTACTTGCAGAAGACAAGACTGAATTGCTTCTGCACTGGTAAACACTTCAATGTTCGCCGTTGTTGAGCGAGTTTGAATAAGCTGCCGCACGCAGGCAGCAGGTGCTTCAGATTACGACAACACGCAAAGCATGCCTGCAGTTTGCGAGCGACGGCACAAAAGCCTTCCCCCGCATGCATCGCAAGGACCGACTCACATCAAACCAATTTTACCACCTGCTACACCACCTGCTCGGACGTCGCCGACGACCTGACCACGGCGCCCCCCCCCCCCCCTCACACGACCGGCACCTTGGCGTTGACGGGGAAGAGGAAGGGCTGCACGTCCGGCATGTCCCGCATCTCGTTGAGGATGCCCTCCAGGATAGTGCTGAACGTGATGAGCGGGTCGATGCGCCGCCGGTTGGCCGTCTTCTGACGCCGGTGCAGGTAGTCGCAGTGCAGGTCCAGGCCCATGCGGCGGCCGCCGGCGACCCGACATCGCGTCCTTCGGCACCTTCAGCAGCAGCGACTTGCGCTTCAGCTCCTCGGCTTGCTGCGGCAGGGAGGAGAGCGGGTCAGTGGGAGGCGAATGGCGTCCTGCATGAGGCGCGCCGCGTCTGCCGCACAAAGAAGTGAGAACACAGCAAGGCACGGCCAGACCCACAGACGACATTAAGCTGTAAGTCCTGCTATCCAGCGGCTGCAGGAGTCCGGGATTCGCACTCGGAATCTCTGCAGATGTCTGCAGATAGCAGCGTTCAGCACACCACCTCAAGCGTCGCGCTCGATTGGGAGACTTTAATGGGCAGTGGTCAATGGACACATGGCTAATCGATGACTGAATCCCGCATCGATACGCAGAGCGGAACTTGGTGAACAAACGCGACGAATACCAATCAGTGAACAACGTGCGTACGAACACCTGACTTATCCAAACAGGCCAGCGTGGCAGGCGCCGCACCGCACCCGGCGCCAGCACGTCTCTTCACGTCCACCTCTCGTCAGGCGCAAAACCCATCCCACCGCTGTGATCGCCACCGCCAGCCGTACCTTGATGACCTTGCCCGAGAGCTTGATTTTGGTGCCGTCCACGTTGATGAGCTCCTCGTCGTCGGGCACGTCCAGTCGGCAGGCGTCCTCCTCCTCCTGCTCGGTCATGGCCACGTTCATGGGCGGCTGCGGTCCGCCCGGGCCCTGGTACTGCGGGCACGCCTTGTTGGTCCGCATGTGGCCCACCTGTGGGTGTGGGCGAGCGCGCGCCGGTCAGAGGCCGCGCAGAGGCGCACGGCAGCCGCTGCGGCGCGCCGTCGACGACGACCGGCCACGGCTGGGAGGCGCGGCGCCCGGCTGGCCAGCGGTGGGGGACAAACACACAAACACACGGCGGTACACAAACAGCCAGCAGGCAAATCATCAGAGCTAGAGCTACTGTTGGATCGTAACAGGCTATTTGATCCTGAAATTAGTCCTTTTCATGTTGTCTTTGTTCTTCATGGTGGATACAATGGCAACAAGAATGTAAAAACAAAACATCATGGGAAAGAGCTAATATCATGCAGATTTACTGTTCACAAAACTGGGTAAATATATGCTTACATATCCTATGCCACGAGCAAACTGATCGGTCACGAACAGTTACCATGTCCAAACAACCTAAGCACACGTGGTTAGATCGGCGGCACAGTATCTCTCAACTGGAGCTCACAGCCTACAACTAAAACTCACCAACCTTCGTTCAGAGGTCGCTGACTCTCGAGTGAACTCCCCCCCCCCCCCTCCGGTCAGCCCATCCCACACGTTCTCACCTGTCCGCAGGCGCCGCACTTGAGCTTGAGGTCGGGCTTCAGCTTGGGCTTGCGCTGGCGCGGCTGCTGGCTGAGGCCCAGCCGCTCCTTCTCCTGGTTGCGCTTGATGCGGCGCAGCTGCTCCTGGATGCGCCGCTTCTCCCGCTTCATCTCCTCCTTCTGCGTCTCGTCCAGCTGACCGGCAAACTGAGGCAGGGGACACCGCGTGAGGCGCAGCGAATGACCCCTCTGCCGATGGCTGCAGGCTCTGGACCAGGCCGGGGCTACGATGTCCGTGAACGGCACTTCACTAAAGGGAGCGTACCGCAGGCTGGTCGGCAAGATGGGAATGCATCGACTCCGACTCGGTGCTGAGTGGTGCAGCCTCTGCAGAGCTCTTGACCGCTCCCACCGCGTCTATGGCAGCTGGTGCATCCAGAGCCGCAAGCACTGCTCACGCATTACCACCTCAGGCGAGGCGGGCAAGTTCCGACTAAACACTGCACGACATCTTTGCTTGCCTGGTTGGTGGACGCCACACATCGCGGCCAAAGGTCGCCTCCGACAAGCGATCCCCCGACCTGCGCCGACCCTGCTGCCCACCTGCTTGATGAAGCTATCGTCCTTGGTGGTGCGGATGCGTAGGTAAGCGTCGATGACGGCCTGCTTCCGCACCGTCTCGATCCGGGTGTAGGTGCCGCCCTCCGAGTTGCGGAACGTGCGCATGATCCTCAACACCCGACCTGACGCCACGGACGAGATGATGAGAACAGTCCAGAGGAGCATCGAGACGAACCCCTTGACAACTAGCGGGTGTTGTGGCTGGGCGCCAGGATGGGAGAGAGCCATCGAGACCCAAACTGAGACAAACCACCTGACAGTTAGCGGGTGTTGTGGCTGGGCGCCAGGATGGGAGGGAGCCATCGAGACCCAAACTGAGACGCATACCCACACTTCGTTTTACACACAGCTTTTTCTGTGGGCACTGTTCGCACCGGTGCGGCATAAGCAGTCACCTCAACTTACGGCAGGCTTCTCTTTTGTAACGCTCGCCTTACCTACACGCCTAACTCACATAAAAAACACAGCATACACTTATGTATAAAAATGTCTACGCTTCCTGGAAGAGCTCGTGTTGGCTACTTCCTGCCAGGCTGTCACCCGTCACCGGTCAGAACACGGTGCACGTCCTCACCCGCCGAGTCCTCCTCGCCGTCCTCCTTCTTGCGCTTGTCCTTCTTGCCGTCACGCAGGCCATCCTTGGTGTCGTCCTGGCCGGCGTCGCCCATCATGATCTTGTGCAGCTCGCGCCGCTCGCGCTCCTCCTTCTCCAGGCTCAGCTGCGTCGACGTCTTCTTGTTGGACAGCATGTTCTCGATGTTGCGGCCTGCGGGCAGGGCGGTGGGCCTGGTCACAGACTGCGCTTCACGGCAAGCTGATACCGTGGGGTCGTCGCTAGTGTCGGGGCTGAATAAATCCCATCTGAAACCGGATTTTCGATGCATTAATGACTGGTCTGTTGCCCTCGGCGCATGCAGTCGTCATCATCATCGAAACAGTTTACGCCGATTGACGTCTGATTTTTTCAAGTCGGGTCGACATGTTTGATATTTATAGACATCAACAGCAACAAAAATGGCCAACAAGCCATGACCTAAGAGCGACCCCTGCAGTGCACCAGCGAGCCCGAGCCCGAGCCCCAGTTTCATCTCCAGCCACAGCCACAGCTCCAGATCCAGCTCCAGCTCCAGCTCCAGCTCCAGCTCCAGCTCCAGCTCCAGCTCAATCTCCGGCTCCAGCTCCTGCCTCCGTCCATGTCCCAGCCCCAGCCCCAGCCCCAGCCCCAGTCCCAGTCCCAGTCCCAGTCCCAGTCCCCAGCCCCAGCCCCAGCCCCAGCTCCAGCTCCAGCTCCAGCTCCAGTTCCAGTTCCAGCTCCACCCCCCCCCCCCACTCGCCTGCAGTGGCCACATACCGTGCTCCTCGATGTCGTCGTCGTTCTCCTCCTCGCTGGACGAGCCCTCGTCCGTGGAGAGCACCTCGTCCGAGGCCAGCACGCGGTTCTGCAGCTCGTACAGCCGCTGGCACTCTTCCTTATACCTGACGGCGGACGCCAGCGTCGTCAGCAGGGCTGTGCGTCCGCCTATGGGGATGGCGGGCTGGTGCACTGGGACGTCCTCGCGATCACACTGCGCACACCGGGTAGCATAGGGTGCACACCGGGTAGGCAACGGAAAGCATCGCTTTTAAACATCCAACTGATATCTGCTTCTTCGCCGACACCTGTAAGTGCTGAGGCCTACCAGCGTCTGCGTCCACTGACGGCAACTGATGCAAGCAGGGCATCAGTCGCCGTCGGGCCCCTGCTCTAGGCATTATCAGTCACCGTCTGACCCCTGCTCTAGGCATTATCAGTCACCGTCGGGCCCCTGCTCTAGGCATTATCAGTTACCGTCGGGCCCCTGCGCTAGGCAACATCAGTCGCCGTCGGGCCCCTGCGCTAGGCATTATCAGTCACCGTCGGGCCCCTGCGCTAGGCATTATCAGTCACCGTCGGGCCCCTGCGCTAGGCATTATCAGTCACCATCGGGCCCCTGCTCTAGGCATTAGCAGTCACCGTCGGACCCCTGCTCTAGGCATTATCAGTCGCTGTCGGGCCCCCGCTCTAGGCATTATCAGTCACCGTCGGGTCCCTGCTCTAGGCATTATCAGTCACTGTCGGGCCCCTGCTCTAGGCATTATCAGTCACCGTCGGGCCCCTGCTCTAGGCATTATCAGTCACCGTCGGGCCCCTGCGCTAGGCAATATCAGTCGCCGTCGGGCCCCTGCGCTAGGCATTATCAGTCACCGTCGGGCCCCTGCGCTAGGCATTATCAGTCGCCGTCGGGCCCCTGCTCTAGGCATTATCAGTGACCGTCGGGTCCCTGCTCTAGGCATTAGCAGTCACCGCCGGACCCCTCCTCTAGGCATTATCAGTCACTGTCGGGCCCCTGCTCTAGGCATTAAAGTGGATCTGCCAGCGTAGTGCCCAATCCTCCACACAACTACACACTTGCACCCTGATCACCGTCCTTTGAAGGGACAGTAAGACACGCAAAAGCAGTGATGGAAATTGGCTCTCAAGGGACGGTGAAAGCTCAGCGTCCACAGGGCTACCCTTTCCCAGAATCCGTGTGTGAAAGTCCATCAGCAAACCATACATACGTGCCCTGAGTAACTGAGAAGCATTACCCCCAAACCCCACCACCACCACCCATCGACCATCACCTCTCCTGGTGTTCGGCGATGGAGAAGCGGTTGCCTCTGGAGAAACGGTCCATGCCCTCCTCGCCGGCCTTGGCCTTCTCGGTGGAGAGCGTGCGCACCACGTCAATCACCTCCCAGCGGGAGAGCTTCTTGATCTGGGGAGCAGCCGAGGGCCGCCGGTCAGGCGGGAGGCGCCGCCCATCGCGCAGCGCTGCACCGGGACGGGACTGCCGACTGGGGTGGGCACACCGGCGCACTGCACGCGCTGGCCGGCTTCAAAAAACAATCAGAGGTGGGGAAACGGCTCTCACTACTGCGTCATCGGAGTAGCCAGTGAGAAAACGCGACTTACGTTATGACACTGCACGTGCCAACTCGTGGCCCTGAATGACGAGTCATGTTTACACGGCTGCACCGTGGCCATCGACCCCACGCCTTTTGCAAGCCAGACATCCAGCCGAGTGGCACCAGACCTCCAGCCGAGCGGCACCAGACCGGGCGCGGCGCCGCCCTGGCTGGGGCCGCCGGTCGCGATCGTCGGCGGCCCTCACGCGGCGCCGCCCTGGCTGCGGCCGCCGGCCCGCGCGCGGCACCGCGCTCACCTCCTCGTCGGGCACGCCGAAGTTCTTCAGCAGCGCCTTGGCGTTGGCCAGCGAGAGCCGCCGCAGGTCGGCGTCGGTGCCTGTGACGATCCGCTTCGGCTGCGACTCCTGCTCCTCCTTGTTTTGCTGCCGGGCGCGGCGGGGTGGGGGTCACGGCCGGTCGATACAACGGTGATCAGCACAACGTTCCGCCGCATGTTTTTAGCAGGAATTGTTTGGATTACGATGGGTGGGGTAATCTCATCGAAGCTGAGCCCGCCTACGAATCGATCACGAGCAACCACCCGTCTTCTCTAAGAACGCATCAGAACATAAAATGTCCTTTCTGGAGTTAAAAACGGCATCCAAAAATAAGCAGGTCTTCTCCCTCGTGGCAAACTCGACCCGAGGGGTATGCGGGGGAACGCGTCCAATCTTGATCCGTGGCAAGACGTATCGTCGGAGCGATATCTCCCTGTCCTCATATAAACGCCCACCGATCAGTCGCCGTTTGTTGGTGATAGAAATGCACCTTTTGTCCTGGACTCACTGCTAGTCATGACTGCTGGGTCGTTCGTCGACACAGACCCACCTCACTCTAGGGACTCGTCAGTCGCGCAGCGCCGGCTCTTACCGTTGGTTTGTTGGGGACGCGGATGTAGCTGAAGCCCTCGCCGCAGCCGGTGGGGTCGCCGGTGCCAGTCAGCAGCAGCAAACACTTGCCCTTGGCCGCCTGGATGTAGGCCCGTGTCGTGTTCCAGGGCGCCACCTGCCCACCCAGAGCGCACGCGTTCAGTGGGGCAATGCAATTCAGGCGGCGGCGGCGTTGGTGTACCTCATACTCGCGCCGGCCGCCCGACTCGCGCGCCCACGCACATTGCTGCAGCTGGTCCAATGTTTGGCTGAGCGAAACGGCTGCATGCAATGGCGCCATCGTTTTGCAAATGAAGACAACCGACAGCAGGTACACCGTCCCCAGACAAAGTCCCACGGGAATGTTTTGGGTGGATAATGTTGGCCCGGGCTTCGGCAGCGAAAATATCCGACTTGGGGCCTGCTCGCAAAAAAACTCACAAACACGCAGTGCTACGCCATATCCTATTTTGTAGGCTGCTCATCACGAAACGACCTTACACGTTCACCACAGGGCGTCACACTACCACACACCGACAATACAAACAACGACCGGAAACAAACCCTGCCACGAACGGGACGCTGCACAGGTCGGACAAACGCCACTCGCCTTAATCTCGTCGTCTATCTTCATGTCGGAGTCCTCGTCGTCTCCCTGGGTCAGCAGGAACTTCTCACCGTAGCCGGCGTCTCGCAGCCGCTGCTCGGCAGCGATCATGCTGGGAACGGTCACGTCAGCATAGGTCAGGTCACCGATGCGTGCTACGAAACTGCATTGGCGCATGTAAAAACGTGTCACATGTGGTTCACATAAGAAGTCACGAGTTCTGCTCTGCACCACTGGACGCGCTGTTTCTAAATATCGCACTTTGTAGCCTGCACTTGGTGGTGCAGCACCAGTTACGGAACAAAAACGCCTCAAGTAAGTCAAGTTGGACGAGGATTTTGAACACCATCACTGCTGTCACTGCTGTCACTGCTGTCGAGGTTCGGGGAGGCAACCCGCGGCAAAGCCCTGCTCCAGGTCAAATCTTAAGAGCCGCTCGTCCTATTCGCTGGGCACGGCGTCCCCGTGCTGCGTTCTCCTCGACCACCACAGCAGAGCCTGCGGCGGCGCCGCGTCCGCCCGACAGACCTAAAGTGTCCGCAGCACTGTTCGGGCGACACCATGGCGCGGATCTCCTCCTCCGTCGGCAGTCGGAACTCGGGCTTAATCACCCACCAGTTGCTGTCCATTCCTGCCGGCGGGCGGGGACGGGGCACGGCGTCAGACGCGGGCCGTCGGACCCAGCCGCGCGACCGGCGCCGCTGGGACGACCGCCGGCAGGCGGGGACGGGGCACGGCGTCAGACGCGGGCCGTAGGACCCAGCCGCGTGACCGGCGCCGCTGGGACAATCGCCGACAGAAGCGAATCCAGAGAGGAGCCAACGCGAGTTTTGTGTGGACGGAGAAAACCTGATGGCGCCGACTCTGGTGGTGATTTGGTTTTTTAAGGGCGCGTCGGCATCGGGGCCATTTTGCGCCCACTCGGTGACGGTTATCTACCTCTGCGACGACGCGATAAGTATGTTGTCAACTAATAACAGGTAGTATCACTGGCGCACTTACACTGAGGGGTGAGTGAAAATAACGTCAGTCAATGTGTGCTAAAAATGCGAATATATCTCCAAGTTCACCACATGGGTTTCGACCGAGTAACCGATGAAGGGGCGCTGGAGGAAAAAATCGTCGCCTCTCCGTCTCAAGGCGCCGGCATGAGACGAGGACATGTTCAACAGACAACCGGTCCCCGCATCTATCACACCGTGGCACATCCCTACGCGTCAAGTAAAACGAGTGTGTTGCATATGTATGACCCAACCGAAGCCTACAAAGGGCGACTTCCTGGAAGCGGCTTCGGCGATGGGAGGATTCCCAATCACCCAGTTGGGACTGGATTCCCCTGAAAGCGTGGAGATGTTGGTCGAACATGTGCTGCCACGTATTGCGGATGTATTTGGAAATGACTGACTCCAGATCTCGAGCGGGTACATAAATTGGTATTTGTTTTCTCTCACACGCCGCAGCTTTCGCTGCGGCGTCGGCTTTTCCATTTCCCATTATTGCTATGTGACTGGGGATCCACATAAATGTAATACGGCAGGAAAAGTTGTCCAGCCATTCCAGTTCCTCCCAAATTGAGCGCGTCAAAAATGAGTGGTCACGCGACATCGCCGTCGGGCTAATGATAAAAGTGCACTGAGTGAGACGGTCAAAATGACTACATCCCTTTCAGGACGAGAAGCAACGTACTGAAGCGCTGCTAAAATAGCAAACAGTTCTCAGGAAAAAACTGACATGTGATGCGCGAGGCATATACCTACGGTATGGTCACCGCAAACAAATGCGCAGCCCGTTCCTGTTGAGCCCTTGGACCCATCAGTAAATACTTGTAATGAGTTCGCGTATTGTGAGATCTGTTCCAACGAATAGGTGAGGAACTCTCGTGGGGAAGTGCCATTTTTATGATGCTGACAAAGTTCAAAATTATACTTCAGACTCAGACGTCTCCACGGAGCAGAGTCCCGAAGAGTGTGCGGTGCAATGTCATCCAGCGTAATATCCGCCTCGTCCAGCCAGTCCCGGACGCGCAGGCACATCGGCCGTGATGACGTGGGCCACCCCCTCAAAAAAGGACGGATTAACGTCTGAGAGAAGATGAACTTAAAGGCTGGGTGATCCGGAAATTGTGAAACCTTTGTAGCGTAATTCAAAGTAAGTCGTTGTCTCCTAAGAGGCAAGGGCGGTTTATTCGCTTCCACAAGCAAGTTTCTTGTTCGGGTCGCCAACAATGCACGCAGGCCTATCCTATGCCAGATCCGACTCAACGCTCGCAATGAGTGCGGCTGGCTCCAAACGACAAAATAGCTCGAGCACTCCGACCGACCCGGCCAGTGCTCCGTCACGACCCCGTCCCAATTACACACGGCGACAGGACAGATGCCGGCGGCGGCGGCCACGCCCGTCACCAGCGCCGTGAGGTGGGCCGGGCCGAGCGGCGCCCGGACTCACCGGTCCTCTTGAAGTCGGCGCAGGGCTTGAGCCGCTTCCTGATGGAGGACTCGGAATGGTGCGGGAACGCCCGCTTGATCACCTCCATCTTGATCCGGCGCGGGTTGTCGTGCGACTTCCAGAACAGCCGGTAGATGAACACCTGGCGACGGAGGCAGTGGGGGTTAGCAGGCATCGCCCCGGGTCCGATGGCGACGGGTGGCAGAAGGGGAGCCCCGGTCTGGCCAGAGCTGCGCTGTTACCGACCATCTCGCTGGCAGGGAGTTCTTTTGTGCATGCATTAATATGGGGCGTTTAGATTGTTCCTGGGATGTCAACGGGTCGAATGTGTAATGAATGAATGAAGTGAAGATGAATGATGAAATGAATTAATTGAGTGAACAGATCGGCGACAGCGACATGAGGTCACACCTAGCTCCAACCAACCAAAACATATCCACACCTTGTTCCAGGCCATGTGTCAGATGAAGTGGAGTTCCCAGACGTTATAGAGCAAACGCGCGGTATCGATCAATATCCAGCATTTCTTTCCCAGTAAATCCTGCCATCAAAAACCCGCCAAGCAGCCTCCTCAGTCCAACACACTCTGCCTGTCGCACGCGCTGGCCCAGACTGGCGCGGCGACCAGGACGGCGAGGCGGCCGCCGCCTCCCCGCCCGCGCCGCCCACCCACCTGCAGGAAGTCCCTGGTGAAGTTGTTGGCGCGCTTGGAGTTGGGTCCGGGCACCTCGTACAGCGGACATTGCTGGCCGGCCGTGAACAGTGCGTCCGCCTCTCGGATAAAGTACCCCTGGCTGCGGGCCGGCACGGAGGGCGGGCGCCGTTACGGTCTGTGTCCGGAGTTGCCGCTAACGGGGTTTACTTGCCCCGGCTGGAGGCGATGCTCGTGGTAAGCCCACGCCGGCGGACAAACATGTCACGCGTTGCTGGTTCACTCTTTCAAAACGGCGCTAAACGGGCCCGCCAGCGAACTTTCACCAAGGCTGTACAACAACCAGCTTAATGGCAGCAACGTAACATGCGATAGGCAACGCATTACCGGCTCCCAACCGAGCTCTCAGCAAGTCTCCACCAACCCCACGTCGTCAAGCTCGCGCCGCCGCGGCCAGCTCCACCCACCGCGTGCGGATGACGATGAAGTCCGTGTCGGGCGGCCGGTGCGGGTAGATGGGCGCTCGGTACATGTTGTTCTCCACCGTCTGCACGCACTTGCCCGGCTGCATGACGCCGAGGAAGGGCGACGTGTGCGCCAGCGCCGTCTCGCCGTACCGCATCTCCGGCGGACCCGGGTCCTTGCCCGCCTTCCGCTTGTAGTAGTTCTTGATCTTGGTGCACATGCCGACCTGGGGCGCGCGGCGGAAGACGTCACCGGGGTGAGGGGTGGCCAGGGGCGGGTGAGTCCAGAGACGCCGCCGGATATGGGACAGTGCGTGGTGCTGCGGCCACACAGAGCGGCGCCAGTCAGCGGAAGTCAACGTCAGAGATGCGGCCCAGCACAGCAAAGCCCGATCATCCAGGCCAGATCGCGCCCGCGGTCTGTACGCCGCATCAGACAGCTACCACCCCTGGCGCAAACACAGTGTCACAGCATATCAGTGCTTCAGACCCGACGATCAGAGCATCTCCAAACGCCAGACGGTCGCTGGACTCCGACCTCCGACGTCGCGAGCTGCGCCAGCGCGTGCCGGCCCGGGCGGCCGTGGCGTACCTGTGACAGTATGGCCGGGTGCTCCTCGCAGTGCTCCACCAGCACCATGTCGCCGTCACGGCCTGTCAGGTCCTCGGCCGAGCGCATGAAGAAGACGTCCCCGCCGCCCGACATCAGCCGCTCCTGCTCGCGTTGCTGCGGACACACAGAGGCGGCCCGGTCACGCAGCGGACGCCCAGTCACGAACGGACGTCCCGTCACACAGCGGACGTCCGGTCACACAGCGGACGCCCAGCCGCGAACGGACGTCCCGTCACATGGCGGACGCTCGGTCACACAGCGGACGCTCGGTCACACAGCGGACGCCCAGCCACGAACGGACGTCCCGTCACACAGCGGACGCCCGGTCACACAGCGGACGCTCGGTCACACAGCGGACGCCCGGTCACACAGCGGACGCTCGGTCACACAGCGGACGCCCGGTCACACAGCGGACGCCCAGCCACGAACGGACGTCCCGTCACACAGCGGAAGCCCGGTCACACAGCGGACGCTCGGTCACACAGCGGACGCCCGGTCACACAGCGGACGCCCGGTCACACAGTGGACGCCCAGCCACGAACGGACGTCCCGTCACACAGCGGACGCCCAGTCACACAGCGGACGTCCCGGCACACAGCGGAAGTCCGGTCACACAGCGGACGCCCAGCCACGAGCGGACGTCCCGTCACACAGCGGAAGCCCAGTCACACAGCGGACGCTCGGTCACACAGCGGACGCCCGGTCACACAGCGGACGGTTGCGCGGCGCACGTCGTCGAGCGATGACAGGAATAGAACCCATACATGCCGCGCGAAAGCCGAGCACACTCCGAACACTGAACTGCGCCATTTTGCCCCATCCTCCTCTAGCTTCCCCACACGAAGGGCTTGGCGTCGGGACGCTGCGGACCACGCGGCCGCGCACTCCTGATCTCTCCCGTCTCACAGCACGTACAGCCCGCCTGACTCCGACACTACCCTCCCCTCTCGCCACTCCCCCCGCCGCCTCACGCCGCTCGTCTTCCGTACCTTGGCCTTGCGCTTGATGTTCTTCTGCAGCGGCTGGACGGGCACGGGCTGGTTGCTGGCCAGCGGGCCGTTGGAGAACTTCTTGAGCGGCGGCCGGTGAAACTGGCGCAGCTTGATCGGGCCCATGTGCGTGGGCACGAACGGCGCCTGCAGCTCCACCTGGCGGCCACCCGGGTAGACGAGGTCACAAACACGCCGACGACACACCCGACCCTCGGGGCTCCACGGATAAACGCGACAAGACTGCCGGCGACGCTTCGCTGGTAAGTAATAACCACATCACTGCGCTGATAGCGTGCGATTCTCGATTCCTGCCCAAGCTTTCATCCTTTACCCTTCGCCAGCCGCCGCTCACGGCGTGCAGGCGCTAAGGCCCTCCACATCAACACCATCGCCAGTCACTCCTCAGGAGTCGGACAGTGCTCCAGCCCCACTCAGAGACCACGTGTCCACGCTCCCCCAGCGCGGCACTGCAGCGTGACCCGACAGCTGACACCCCGGCCAGCGGCCACCCACCACCGGGATGGAGTGCTGCAGCAGGCCGGTGGCGCTGCCGATCTTGATTGAGTTGTCCGTCGTCTTGGGCAGGTAGTACTCGTCGTTGGAGATGTTGAACGGGTCTTTGTCGGTGGGCTCGGGCGTGGCCGGAGGCGTCTCCTCGTCCAGGTGCGTGATGACGCCCGCCTTGCCCAGCAGGATCTTGGACTTGCGCACGTGCGGGTGCGGGATCTTGATCTTGCGCTGCTCGCCGGCTGGGAAAACGGACAGGAACGGCATGTCAGCCGGCGATGGTGCTGAGATGTCAACCGCAAACGGCTTCAGAGAGTGGAAATGCATCAGTAGCTAGAACATCGACTGGTTAGCGAAACAGCGGCAGCATGAGCAGAAGGTAGATAAAGCCACGAAGTGGCGGCTGACTCTTGCAAGCCAGCGCGTTTCCAAACACAGGCAGCACATTGCTGAAGTATCAACGCACGTCTGGCAAATGGTACCCGGAGAACTGTCCACTGAACGTGTGCCGCATTCATTTCAAATTTTAAAAAATACGCCAAAGGCTTTCATATTCCGAACCTTTCATCCACCACTATCCAACCCCAGCACCACGTCACACTCCACACGGCAGGCACGCGCGGGCGCGAGCCGTTCTGCCACGCCGCCGCTGCCGCGCTCGCCGAGCGTTGGCGCGCCCCGGCCCGGCGTCCACTCACGCTCGCCCTTGCCGACGGTGGGGTCCACGTCCTCGGGGATGCCCAGGATCACGTTCTCGTCGTTGGGGTCGAGCGTGAGGATACGCGGCCGCGGCATGCGGCCCATGTCCTCCGGGTCGTAGATGATGTCGTCCTCCCACCGGCCGTACACCAGCTCCTCGTTCTCCACGGGGAAAATGGAGAACCAACTGCTCTTGCCGTCGGCCGCGCTGCGGCGGGAAGCGGAAGGGCAGCGGCGGTGAAGCGCGCGCCAAGCGGGCCGTAGGTCGGGCGGAGGCAGGCACGCGGTACACGGTAGAGGCGGTGAAGCGCGCGCCAGGCGAGCCGTCGGTCGGGTGGGGGCACGGACACGGCACACAACGGAGGTTGGGACGGGTCGGGAAGACAGGTCAGGGAACACTGTGTAAGCGCAGACAGGGGGCGTAGAGGGATGGCCTGTCACAGAGCGTACAGGCACATCGATGTGCGCGAGACATCCGCGGCTGTCAGAGGGGTGGGCACCATTGCGAAGAAGCCCGGCCCTGACGCTGGTCAAAGACGCAAGGGCACCGGCAATGCACGGCCCGGCCACGAGTCGAACGGCTCGAAGGGAGCGGAACACTGTCCACTTCAGCCTTGGGATCAGACGGGCAGGCGGCGGTGAAAGTAGTCCAGCCATGCGAGCACACTCACGTGTGGGGCTTACGTACAAACAAGGTACTGCAATCCCCATCCGAGCAACGAATGTCGGCGGACGGCGGATGGTACTCTGCTGTGTTACGGATAAACTGCATGGGCGCTAAATGACCGCGTAGGCGAGGCGTACTAAAGCCCCAATTACTAGCACAGGGTGGTTGGTTGAACTTTAAGACAATGGGTATGCAAATAGATTTTTGGGACATCCATCTGTAAGCTGCGATCCATCTGCGAGGCAGGTTGCCCAAGCTTTACGAACAAGGATTCTGAAAGGTTGAGAGGTCAGTCTGTACACGACACCAGACCCCGGCACGAATTAACGCCACCATGCGAACGGCCAGCCATCAGCTCCACACGGAGCGCTTCCGCGACTGTGCCGTCCTTCCAGACCGTCCATGATCACACAAGTTAGGCAAACATGCCGACTCTGCGCCACAGAGCACCCGGCGGCGGCGCGGGCGCTGGGCGGGCGGCTCGTGCCGCGGCTGACTCACGCGGAGGCGCGGATCTTGAGGCCGGCCGGCGCGGGGAAGCCGGGCGTGACGGTCGGCTTGCCGGCGTGGCTGAGCTGGCCGGCCGTGCGGTTGTAGCCGGACGGCAGCCAGCCGGCGGCGTTCGTCTTGCTCGTCAGCTTCTGCATTACCTGCCGATGCAGTGGGCGTCGTTTCTCCGGCACCGACGGCCGATGTGGCGGCGGCGGCGGCGCTCCGAGACGCTCAGACGCTTCCGCTGGACACTCACACCGCTTCACCAATGACAGACAGTGGGGAGGAAAGCAAATAAGCCCCTCGGGGAATAGCACCGATGCGTTAAAATACAACGATACGTACACAAACTGGAGCGGGCGGGGCGCATCCACACACCTTGTGCTTGATGTCCTCGCCGTTCCAGATTACATCATCTTCCCAGTTGAGCTGTGTCACCATCAGGTACGCGTCATCCTCAAACTTGACCGGGCCGGCCGGGTCCTCCGCGTCCTCGTCGCGCTCGGTGGTCGCCTCCTTCTTCACCTGCGGCGCCGGCGGCGTGGCGTCACATGAGGTGAGTCCGGGCGTGTGATGCGGTCACGCCCTGCGGGGACGTGCCGGCGCCGAGAGGCAACACCAAATGACACGGGCAGCGGGTGGCGAAAGCGCGTACCAACTACACTGACAGCTGAGCATATGCCCACAATGAAGTACGATGAGAATAAATGACGGTGAGATCAGGTGCCAGCAAACGTGAAAACAAGCACGCAAACGCTTAAAGCTGACACGACGAGTGACTCCGCTGACTTCCCTGCACGTTGATCAGTGGAATCGCACACGCAGCAGTGCATGCAGCAGCCCTGGTCGCAGCATAACGCACGAGGATGGTCGCCGGTCGACGCTCCCAGCCCCACTTCCTGACCAAGCGACCGCGCACAAGCGAACACGTCATAACACACAGGGCCACGAGCCGCCACAGCCCGCACACGCGCCCAGGCGCGGTCCCGCAGCCGTCTGCCGGCTCGCGGGGTGACTAACAAGCGACGCCGGCGGGCGGCGGGGCGGCTCGGGCGGCAGGTCGGCCGCCGGCGGCTCCGGCTCGCGCTCCACCTCGGCGACCGGGACATCCTCGCCCTGCAACAGCCGCGTCACGCACACGCTACGGCAGAAGCGGATGAGGCGGGGCGACAGGCAGGCGGTGGCTCACGCTACACACACACACGTACACGCACACACGTGCATGCAAGCGGGGCCGGGCGCGGGAGCTGCGCCGCTAGTGTCCCGACACTGCTCACGGCGGGCGAGGCACAACAACCACGAACACACGGATCTAGTCTTAAGACATGACATCTTCAGGCTTCGAAGCATGCATCCACCACGCAATACACGATACTAGCTACTTTCAAAATCACGAAAGATGGATCCCACGCTGTATTGCGTGGTCAGCTTTCACTACAAGGTTCAGCCGAGCACAGGCCGACTCCGGGGACACTGGCCAGCGCAAGTCGGCGGCGCGTGGCAGGTCACACTCGGCTCAGAAGCTCGTCAGCGCGTCGGCCCGCCGCCGGCCGCCTCACGGGGGCCGCCCGGCGCGTGCCGACCCGACCGCATGCAGCGCCTGCGCGCGCACCACGCCCACGGCAGCGCTGCCACGAACATGCACCGTTTACGACCGCGGCCAGGGGGGGGGGGGGGGACACCGCCGGAGCCGAACAGCAGCTCACCTCCGGCTTGGCGTCGGCGCGCGGCTCGTCGCCCTCTCGGAAGCCGTAGTTGTAGCTCTCGCCGCTGCTGGGCCAGTCCAGCATGTCGTACCATAGCTGCGACGGCCCGAACCGCCAGTCGGTGGCCTTGGGCGAGCTGTTACCCGACGGCTTGTCCTCGGCGACGGGCCGCGTCTGCGCCGTCACCTCCTCGGGCCGGAGCAGCTTCTCCTGCGGGCGACGGGCGGCGGCCGTACAGGGAGAGGGCGGCCGCAGGCGTCCCATCCGCCGGCTACGAGCCAGCGCAACGCCAAATTGCCACAATCCCGGGCGCGCGTGAATCGTCCTGGCAGACAACAACCAAGACGATCGCGCGAGTTTTACGACCCTCTCCATTAATTTTTTTTTTTAAATTTGATCCAAACCCTTTGAATGGATGAATTTTTGGGATCAGCGCTCACGCTGAGCAGTGCTTATTGTGTGAGCCCTGACCCCCACCATCCGATCGCGCAATGCCAGGAAACGGCAGAATTTAGTGGCGAAAGCTTAACGTGCCGCAATGCTCGGTACGGTCTGTCCTGCCCTCTGACGTCAACTGACCTTTAACGTGACCGCTGCCACCGGCCGCAGGCCATACCTGCCAAGGGCAAATATCGAGCCCCTAAAGCGACTCGAACCCACCCTGCCACGAGTGTGTGGATCGGAAGGCAGGCGCTCTAACCAACTGAGCCACCGGGACGGACTGTAGTTGCACCGATATTATTTTTAACTGATCTCACCTTAAGCCGCAGCGTGTGGCGATTTATGTGGGGATGTATCCGCGACCCTCGACCGAAGCATCCAAAAACCTCGGCAGCCATAGCCCGCCATGCCGACGACTTGCGAGCGCCTCACCTCATCATCGGACTCGACCAGCTCGGGCGGCAGGGGAGGCCCGAAGCAGAGCGTCAGCTCGCGCGGCCTGGCGTCCGGCTCCTCCTCGTCGCGGCGCCGTTTGCGGCGCTTGCGGCGGATGTTGCGCCAGGGCTGCGGCAGGCTCGTCTGGCGGCCGGGCCCGAACAAACGCGAGAAGCGCAGCACCTGACGGCGGCACAGCCGCGGTCAGGGGAGACCGGGAGTGGCGCGGTCAGGGGAGACCGGGAGCGGCGCGGTCAGGGGAGACAGGGAGCGGCGCGGTCAGGGGAGACCGGGAGCGGCGCGGTCAGGGAGACCGGGAGCGGCGCGGTCAGGGGAGACCGGGAGCGGCGCGGTTAGGGGAGACAGGGAGCGACGCGGGCTGGACAGACAGGGAGCACCGCGGTCAGGGGAGACCGGGAGCGGCGCGGTCAGGGGAGACAGGGAGCGGCGCGGTCAGGGGAGACCGGGAGCGGCGCGGTCAGGGGAGACCGGGAGCGGCGCGGTCAGGGGAGACAGGGAGCGGCGCGGGCTGGGGAGACAGGGAGCGCCGCGGTCAGGGGAGACTGGGAGCGGCGCGGTCAGGGGAGACAGGGAGCGGTGCGGTCAGGGGAGACAGGGAGCGGCGCGGGCTGGGGTGGGAGACCGGGAGCGGCGCGGGCAGGGGTGGGAGACAGGGAGCGGCGCGGGCTGGGGTGGGAGACAGGGAACGGCGCGGGCCGGGGAGGGAGACCGGGAGCGGCGCGGGCTGGGATGGGAGGCTGGGAGCGGTACAGGGAGCGCGGGAGGCGGCTGGGGGGGAGACCAGTGGAAGGCGCTGGCCGGGGAGGGAGACCGGGAGCGGCGCAAGTTGGGGTGGGAGACTGGGAGCGGCGCGGGCTGGGATGGGAGGCTGGGAGCGGTGCGGGCTGGGGCAGGAGACAGGGAGAAGTGCCGAACGTGAGGGACTACTGCACAGGCCCAGGAGACCGCGGTTTGAAGCGGAGATCACCATGTCAATGGAATACAGAAACTGTTGAAGGCCCAGACAAATGTCCACATCCACCATGACATCTCCACCCCACTGTGTAATGCCCACCGTTCCGAGCTCAGCCAAAAATAATACAATTGGAATGCTGAGAGACAGGCCCCAAATACGGCGAGATAATGAAAGACAACGGGAAACACGCGGAAAACGCCTAGGAAAACACATGCGAAAGCGAAAGCTAGGAAAACATGGGTAAGATAGTGAGGACCAGAACACACATTGATGTCGCCTCACCTTGTCCTCCCTGAAGTCGGGGAAGATCTCGGTGATCTCGACGTTGGCGTATTTCTCGGGCAGCATGGCGCCGAGCGGTGTGTTGAGCTGCTTGCGACGCGGCGCCGGCGCCGCGGCGGTGCCGCCGCCCAGCGCCGCCGGCGGCGGCATCAGCCGAGCGTCCCGTTGTTCGTCGTCGGCGTCGTAGTCTGGGGACGGCCGGCCAGTTACCGTACCGGGAGCGGGCCGCGGCTCAGTCGGCGGACGGGGCGGGGCGTCACAAGACGATCGCGCAGTCTCGGGACTGCCGTGGCGACAGGCATGGTCTGACGATCTCGGCGGTCTGGTGCAACGGCGCGAACGACCCCGCCGACTGAGGGAGACGCGGAGCGGGACCGTGGCGGGAGAGATCTCGGGCAGTTCAAGGGAATGGCGACTGCGCTGAAGCGAACTGGTGCTCTCGGGGGAGCTGGAGTGCCGCGGCAGTGGAGACCGCGCGGGCCGCCGGTAGCCCGCGGCACGGGGGGAGGGGGGGGGGGGGGGCGACGTCACGCACCGTCGGATCCGTTCTCCTGCGTGTTCCAGGACGTGTCCTCCTCAGCCAGCTCGGTGATGTCCCAGTAGTCGACGGCCGTGGGCAGCGGCGCCGGCACCGGCTCCTCCTCTTCATCGCCTGCGCAGCACACGCGCAGGTCACCTCACAGCGACCGAGGACGCGAGCGGGGGCGCCGCGGGCCGGCCGACCTCGCCGGCGGCGTCAGGCGCGGGCGCGCTGGCTCGGGGACGTCTGGTGCTGACAGCAGGGTGTGGGAACCCACGACCTCCCCCTCCCCTCCACATCGCCTGCAATGCCAGACACGGGCGGCTCCGGCCACAACAGCGACAAAGTGAAGATTTCGGACGGGGGCCTACTTCTGCTCCACACCATTTCAGCTATCTGACGCAGGTGCGTCTCGCCGCGAACTGTGGCCACGTGCGCGCAGCGCCGTAGGCGTCACAAATGCCGTCACAAATGCCGTCACAAATGCCGTCACAAATGCCACAAACTGTTGTCGGTGCAATACACACCGCAGCTTCAGCGTGTGCATCGATCAAGCGTCGCTAATGGTGCGTAACACTTTTCCTTGAACGTACGCGTCAGCACACGTGGACCTGTTGGGTCATCCACAAACTGGCAAAACCATGGGAGAATCATCCGGGGTTCATCCCACGCGCCAAAAGACACCACTGCCAAAGCCGGCTGGCACGATACTCGAGCCAGCAGTGGGCCCCTGCCCACCCGTGCCCCAGACCCGCTGTCCCCAGCCGCCACTGACCGGAGCGTTTGTCGTCGGCGGCGTCGCCCACCACGTCATGCAGCAGCTGGCCGAGCCCGAGCTTGGAGAGGCCGCGCAGCTGGGCGCGCGCCTCGGCGTCCAGCACGTCCGTCTCCAGCTGGCCGCTGCTGTCGATGTTGCCGAAGAGCACCGCAGTGAGGTCCAGGCCGCCGCCGCCCTCGCCGCCGCTGTCCGAGTCGCTGTCCGACATGGCGGACGCTGCCCAGAGCGGGAGCACCGTCAGCCAGCGTCACGTGGTGGCACAGGAATTCAATTTTTGCGGCGGAAAACTTTCAATGATTCAAGTTCTCTTCTGGGTGTACTGAGATGCGACAGTCTTAGAATTAATTTCTATTGGACGTTCTTTAAGTGCAAATTTTTGCAAGTTAAATTTGTGTCATAACTGTCTTAGAAACTGCATCAGGTTGGAAAATACCATGACAGAGAATGTTATGGCAGTCTGGAGCAGAGCTCGCCAAATACTTTGAGCCTGCAGCTGCCCAGTCTTGAGTCAAGCACATTTCTCTCAGCTATGGTGCCAACTCCACATGATGCCCAAGATGGCAGTGGTGGCCACCACTGAACCAAGTCATTGGTCAGGTGTCATCACACACTCAGGTGTCACATCCCATGGTGGGGGGATGTTTCCAGGGACAACTGCAGAAGCAGGATGACTGGTATTTAGACTTCTTACATCGCAGCAGGTGAAGTGTGTAAGGGCTGGGTAAGAAACTAAAAGAGCAGGTTGCATTACAACAATTGTTATCCATTAAGTCTTCTCTTAAAATGTGCACATGGCTTTTGAAGCTCTACTTCCTGGTTGTTTGATATCTTGGTGCATTGGTGGCATAATGGCAACAATCATTTTGGTTGCATGAAAACAATGAAGTCATAATAATATGCATTGCAAAAGGTATGATGAATAAACACCATTGTTACCTTAACATCAATACTCATATCATTATGTCATTATGTCACATGGCTTTTACTTGGTCTTTCATTCCAAATTTTAGCCACAATGTTCATCATATCCAATCAATCATGCTTTGTTAATATTTGATGCTTCATATGCAGCCAAAAGCCTCTGCTATAAGTATTATTGTCCTAATATCTAAGACCATGTCTCCAAACAATGTAAGGTAGGTCTAGAAGGTAATTGGTGTAGGTCTAATGCAATGGCCTAATGCATATATGTCACCTTAAATGTCATACCCTGGATTGGGAACAAGCTTAAATATGCAGACAAAATATGATATGGAGTTATTTGGCTCAGAACTATGACTTCTAAGAAATAAACATGTAACTCTGTAAAGCTGGCCAGACCCTCACTATTTGTCAATTATCATGGCTACAATTTGATCATGGAACTAAAAATCTACCTATTGTTGCAAGGGTCTCATCAGGCAAGCAGGCAACACATAAGCATGTTGCATTTCTCTTCTAAATGAAGCACTGGACATGAGATAGAACAGCCAAAGCCATAGAAACAGGATGCAAAGGAATTTTAAGTAGCAGCATATATAGATATACAATATCTATTGTATATCTATATATGGTTTTTAATGAAGTAAGATGGTAGAAGTAAGTATATCTATATATGGTTTTTAATGAAGTAACTATAGATGGTTTTTAATGAAGTAAGTGCACATGGATAGACATGTTCTGTACCCTCATATTACAATAATTTGTATTTCCAAACCCTTAATCTACCAACATAATGGAATATCACAAATTGAGGATGCTGAGCAATTGAGGGCATTAAGAACAAAAACATCACTAGATACTAGGTAGCATAGGTCATAGTGCTTGAATACCTCACTAAAATAATAGTAACTTTTGGCAAATATGAGCAGGTTTAAAACTTTACAGGACAGCTTGACCAATTGCACAATTAAACATCTGCAATTTGTGCTTATTTTAAGGGGGCTGGGATTACAATGCCTAACATCACACAAACTTTTATGGAAAGCCAACAGTTCCAGCAGCCAAATTAGCACTCAGGGGCTCATGGTGCAAACAGGATTCATATCCAGGCTTCAAGGTGGGAGCAGGTGGTGCTAACCACCCAGTCATTATGTCCCAAAGTGCATATTTGGGGATGGAAACTGAGTGTTACTAGCTGAACACTTATGCACCAAATTGGTCATCATAAGGGTCCAAATGTGATTTAGCACATTCTCCCTAGTTCCTTTGTATCTTTCTGCTTGGCTTTCAAAATTGGGTGACTGATCACTTTAACAGGTACTAATGAGCCAGTATCACATGTTACTTGCTGCACCTATTAGAAGACTGGGAATTTCCTCTGTTAAATGACCAAAGATTTTGGATCTTCTTATGTCCCAAGTCCAACACATTTGGCCAACACACAACACATCCCATTTGGCCAATTTACTACCACAGTTATAACTTTTTCAGAACCATCCCCATTTGCTAAAATTAATGACAACTTTTGCCCAACTGAAGATGAATAAGACATAAATTACAAAAAATAGTCCCAACAGCAAACATGTAAGGCACTTCACTAATATGACCAATAACTCGAGCTCAATTGTGTAAATCTGAGATGTCATCATTGGCTGACACGCATGTACACGAGCCACATGTCCCTGCGAACATGCGCGGCGCCTCTATCGGCGGCGCAAGCGGTACGAAAACACGGCCTCAAGACGCATGCCTCGATTTTTGATATCTACAATATATAAGTGGATCTACAGCACAAACAGCATGATTTCCCGATGCAATATAATTCAATTAAGGTATTGTTCAGTTCTAAGGAGAATAGTCTGATTGGAGGTCATTGTGTTTAATACCCGAAAAGTAAGTGACGTCTACTTGGAGAGTACCCCTTTAGTTACCAACGTTCCCACATTTGGAATCATAAGTCATTGTGTCAATGAGTCTGAATACTTAACACAGGCTCCTGAATCAGGTGAAGTATGTTACCTGTTCCTTAGCAGCCTTAAATCAAAATGTTGAACGGCACACGTTTCATTTAACGACGAGCAACGGATTACGCCATCCCTGGCGTCAATGATGGTGCAGCACTGCATTTAACAGTATGCATCGTGATATACGTACCAGCGTCATATTTGTCGAATGTTGCCATTGTGTTTTAGCTACCATATACTGATTTAGAGGAAACCCTCCAGGAGGCAAACTTTATCCCGCGACAACAAGTTGTTAAAAAGGTAGCTACAGATATGGTGGATATAGTAGATGGGTGGTAAGCATTTCAGGAGTTCCTTAAGCATAGGTCTGCTTTTTAGGAGCATAAGGGACCCCCGACTCGCCCAGCCACCACCAGGTGGTGAATGGCCGCCGGCCGAAGATGCGGCGGCAACGTGCACCCGAGCAGGCGCAGAGTTTGGGAACCACCCCAGGTTTAGTATTTGGCCTTCATGCAGGCTAGGGGTAAGACCGACTAGAATGGCACAAACATGGTACGTGTACATGATGTTAGACAGACATGGTGTGTGTACATTGGCCAAACATAAACATGGTACCAGATGCCAAAGCTGTACCGACCGTCCCATCGCTTTCATCTCCGTACTCACGCATTAAGGGGCGCTGCTGGATTGCTTCAGGCCATGTAAGGGACCTCTCGTCAGACTAGATGCCAGGCCAGTCAAAATGGCGCAAGCATAGCGCGTATGTACGCGTGTGACATATGGGGACATGTGTCGACCACTCTGTCGTTTTGGTGATTGAACATGTCATGACAAGAGCGGTGTGAGCGACTGGCGGCCGGTCCGTCGATTATTGCCCCTGGTCCAACAACGCACCTCCCGATAGGTCAGATGCAGGGTCTCCCGGACTGGTACAAATGTGGCATGTGTGCATATGTGTGAAAATGTCCGAGATGTTACGACCGTCTCAACACTTTCCGCGCCCAACACAAGCACAACGAGGCGCAGCTTCGACTAGATTGCTCCAAGTCCAGAAAGAGTCTTCCCTTCAGGCTAGATGTCAGACCGGCCAAAATGGCACAAACGTGACACGTGTGCGCGCATGTGACATGTGGAGACATGTGCCGGCCATTCTATCATACTGGTGATTGAGCATGTCATTTGCCAGTGGTCTGATCGATAGGCGCCCCCCCCCCCCCCCTCCGCCCCAGGTCCAGTAACGGACCTCCCAGCAAGTTAGATGCAAGTTCGCCCAAGACTGGTACAAGCGTAGTACATATGCAGTGTTTTAAAAGCAGACCTGTACCTGTAACGACCGTCCCAACGCTCTGCCAGGGACTGAAATTGTCAAGTTCCCATTTTAAAAACATAGGAGTAGGAACGTTTCAAAAAGCGGGCGGCAAGCTCAGGGCGTACTCCAGGAACCTTTTCTGGAAAGCGAGCTCGAAGACCGGGAGGAGGGGGGGGGGGGGGGGGTACAAATGGAGGTTGTTATCGCTTTTTATTCAAATGTAATGGCCACTATTTCAGATATGCATCTGAAGCTGTTTCCCAGTGGTGCATGCTCTTGTCTATTCGACTCATCTATGTCATTAGGAAAATACAGCTATCCAGCTTCCCAAGATTATTTGTCCGCTTCCACGTTGTCTTTCCTGAGGAAGAGAAATTCCACGGGATGGTAGGCATTTTGGGTCATTGAGGGGCAAAGCACAGGGTAGATACCAAAATACGGCCTGGACATAGGCTGGTGAGAATTTTGAAAGTGAATCGATGGCTCACAGTGTAACATATTTTTCATGCGCCTTCATTTCGCTGGCTGCTTTCCAAGAGGTAAGAGTTGTTGTAGCATTTTAGACGGAAAGAAATTCGGAAGCTTGAAACTGCCAAAAGCAATGTGGCAAAATCCATTAAACTGGATATCCTTCGTTGGAAACCAAGCCATAGAATGACGGTCTTTCTGTCATATATTCCTTATCTGAGCCCTGCTCCCGTCCGCCTTCGGTGGCCATTGTCCTGGCCAGGCTGTCTCCCGAGTGATTGACCGCGAACTGATCGTATGGTTGCATTGTTGCACAATTCTGAATCAGCATTACTTCTAATTGGTGTGTAAAACATATGTTGGACACCTGTATGTTTTCCCGCATTATCTTCCCTTACACCACACCGCCGCAGAAAAAAATATTCCGAGAAGCTGCCTACCTTAGGTATGAATAGGCCCAACGGACATTTGATTGCTCATCATTCAACGTAGACGACTTGATCTTTGGGGTGCAGGCAGGGGCATAGCCAAAGCCTTTCTAAGGGGGAACATAGGGTTGACAAAAACTCTTCTTATGGTGACCCCCCCCCCAAAAAAAAATCCGGAAATGGCCTACTTGTTAACAAAGGACAAGGCTTGCCTCGTCTTATTGTTATTTGTATCTTGTAACCAGAGCAGAAACCAGAAACTACCGTGAGATCAATTCTGTTTGTATTTTGAAGTCAATAAACTGCAGTAACTATGCGTTAAACGGCCGCATGGATTAAATCACTGGCGCCCTTGATTTGCAATAATTTAGCAGACTCTTTTTTCAGACAGAATTCGGAAGCTTTGTCAGAATTTTCATCCGGGTTCTACACACATTGAGGACATCGTGAAGGTGAATGGTAGATCGATATGTTTGTTCAAAATTTGAAGATGAAAAATGGATGCAGATTGAGTGGTCAACAATGTGTATTGACATGACCAGGCCATGTTTGTCTTGAAATATTCATCCAATAATATTCGGTCGGAATCGATAAGTAGTACAATCTATGTAACGCGGTTTTTTAGCATGAGCGCTAGTGAGTCTTAGCGACAAAAACTTCGCCACCAGGGCGTTGCAGCCTCCAGGGTCCGCGGAACGTTAGTTCAGTGGCTAGCTTTTAGCCGTGGCCAACCGGCAAACGAAAATGATGATGCTTCTGAAATAATTGCCTGTAAACACTTAAAATCCATAGCGATATCCACCAGTAATAAATATCCACCAGTAATAATAAAATCCACCAGTGACACAACTTATTTTGGGCATGCGTATTCGCAAATATTAGAAACAAAGACTTCGGCGCCAGGCATTGCAGTCTCCGCAGGCCGCGCAGCATCGGCTTAGATATTGAGCCGTGCCCAACGAATGGATAGAAATGATGACGCTTCTGAAAAAAGTACCTTTAAATGCTGCAGAACGCAAAATCTTATATTGGGAAGGCAACCTGGGCGCCTATTTCACGTGTACGAATCTTAGACTGATGATAAGAACGTATTGACCCTTAAGTCGCCGCGAAGCAGTGCTGGAATCTGGTGATGAAACTGGGGGAGTACAGGCAAAACCTACATTTTTCGTTTTTCTCTAACTACTGATTTGTCCAGAAGACATGTTTAGACGGCGCCTGCCGTCTAGTGGCACTTGCAGTGGCGGACGCCGTTTAGTTTTACGGAAGCAGTGGCGGACGCCGTTGAGTTTTACGGAAGCTGCAGCCCAGGCCATCGCTGTCCTTGCTCTCGAGGTTGCGGCCGGGCACGTTCAAACCTTTTGATGTAATTCGTTTCACTAACCCACTCTGAAAAATGAACGTTCTTGGGCAAACATGGAATGGCCTTGTTGGTTTCCTTTTATTCATTTCGACCCGTTATATTCAACAGCAATGAGACCCCACTCGACGTAACAATAATGAGACCCCTTATTTCCTTCCGGGCAAAGGGGCCCTTGAGTAGAACACCAGGCGCACATCGCCGTTTCCGGTCAAGGGCTGAATGGCCATTCCGTACCATCGTGAAGTGTCTTCTGGCTGTCATTCTGGCGACACTACGCGGGATCCCCTGGTCAATACGGAGGCCATTGGATGCATATGTCGCATCACGTTGTTCCCCTCCCTGACACGGCGGACCCCTCCCTAAAGCCTTCTCACCCGCGCAGTTGGCTTCGGATCAGCACAGGAACCCTCATTGACACAACATCCCTGATCAGCGCAGGTGGTCTAATAATTGTCAGATAGACCCCAGTTCCAAGTTTTTCTGTGTTCTGAGATGTTGGGGACTCCCTGGACGTAGATCATAGATGAAATGGGGTCCCAAATTTGTATTAACATGGCTAATTCATGTTCGTCTTAAAATGTTCAAGATTCAGCCAGAATTGATTACTCATAAAAAACATGTAAGGTGGTTTTGAACATGCGCGCTCGCATGTAATAGCAACAGCCTCGGCACTTGGCGTTGCAGCCTCCATAGAACTCCCGGCGTCAGCCCTGCGGCTGCGACACGAAGCGATGGCCAATGAGCAAACGAAAAAGAATGACGCATCTTGACGAAGGTGGCTGGTGAACTAGGTAAATCGCCATGCATGTTTAATGTAGTGCAAAAGTAAGCTTAACACACCTTTAATCTGAAAAGTGGGGAGCCAGTCAACACTTCTGCCCCCACCTTGAAAAGTGGGGGGCCATGGCCCCCTGCCCCCTCCCCCCCCCCTTGTTCCTACATCCATGTTTAAAGGTGCTCTGACTGACTGTCGGCTGTTCGATCGAGAATCGCCACATGTTCATTCACGCATCTTGCAGGTTAGATGCAGATCTCCCAAACTCACAATATGTGGGCTTCAGCCTCCCCCCCCCCCCATCCCCCTCCCGTGCTCCTCACCACTCACCCACCTCCACAATGAGAGAAAAGTTGGCCAAATTCGGGGTAAAAGAAGTCAGTGGTTTTTGAGGCCGAAGTTTTCAGATTTTTACGGTTAAACCCCAAGCCCTCTTTGCAAGGTTAAGCCCCTGCAGGTCTTTCGAGAAAGCCGTCTTCCTTTTATCACACACTGAAATTTCATCACCACCTCCAGCTCTAGTCCCGTTGTATGGAAGCCGTCGCCTCCATGCCACGCCCGGTATTCTCAGAAGTGTGTGTGTGAGGGGAGGTCCTGCCGGTCCCCAGACACCGCCGCCGGCGCGCCGCTCACCCGGACGAGGCGTTCGGCCAAGGTCACCGCCAGCTGACGCTCGGGCTCGGTGGCCGGTCGCAGGGGGACATTTTTCAAAATCGGTCTGGGGCGAGGGCTCATTCTATGAGGTGGGCCTAACTAAGGTTGATCTAGCTAACCACAACAGCTGATTTCTCCGCGCATTTCAGCCCTTTAAGCTTGGACAAGCTCGGACAATGGCATGTTTTATCATCAAAGCGAGAGAAAGGTCGACACATGTCTCCACAGGTCAAGCGTACCATGCTTGTGTCGTTCTGACCTGTCTGACATCCAGCCTGCAGGGATGAAAACCTTTCCTGAACTTGGAGCAATCTAGCCGAGGTCGTGCCTCATTACGTGTGAGATGGGACCCGAACTTGATGGGACAGTCGGTACAGCCTTGGAATTTGCACACACATGCCCACGCTCTACACTTAAATAATTTTGGGTGGTCTTGCACCCTTTTTGCTGGGTTGTTGGGCTGGAGCCAATTTATGACTGACCGGCCGCCAGCCAACCAGACCGCTTGTTCAAGTGAACGCCCAATCACCGAGACGGTGAAGTGATCCACATGTGTCTCCATATTTCACATGCGCGCACACGTGCCATGTTTGTGCCGTTTTGGCAGGTCTGGCATGTAGCCTGAGCGGAGGTCCTTTACTGAACGTGGAGCATTCCAGCCGAAGTCGCCCCTCTTAATGCGTGAGTATGGATCGGAAAGCGATGAGACGATCGGCACAGCTTTGGCATCTGGTCCCACATGCACACGTGCTACGCTTGTGCCATTTTGGCCGGTCTTGCCCCTGGCCTGCACGGGGGTCCGATACTGACCGAGATCGTTCCCGGCCTCCGCATCTGCTCGGGTGCACGTTGCCGCCGCATTACCGGCCGGGCTGTCGCCCGCCACCTGGTGGAAGTGGTGTGCGAGGGATATCTTTTTGCAAGCTGTTTATTACCTTATCTAATCCTAATGTTTCATATTCAATGTGTATGGGGATTAATTGCCTCTATTTTACATTGGCTCTGCTTGTTATTACTGTGGAAATAAACTTCTTGGGGCTAAGTTGTCTGATTTGGCTGTGACAAAATATTGCGCACTGATTGGTCGGCTCAGCCATCGCGTCAGCCAGGCGAGCAAGGCCGACTGGCGACGGTGGTTGGTGGAGATCTGGCGATATGGGTGTTAGATCTACCCTCCGGCGATCTTTGACTGCGGTGAGAGTACTATATGCAGGCGCCAGGCGCCGGTGAAGCCAGTCGCATCCCCGACTCTGTGCAGACTGCACGCGTCCTCCGCTGAGAGCACCAACCCGACACCATGTGTGGTGAGTATCCGAGCCCCACTTGCGGCCTGCGATGGCTCATGAGATGTGACTAGGTGGACCAAAGTGGCAGTTCCATGATGCATCTCTTAATTATTTTCGAGAAATGAATATGATGGCATTGGAAGTCGGTTAGGCTAAAATAAGATTTTCAGTATTTCAGGAGTCGTGCTTAGGGTAAACAAAGTAAGATTTGTGGCTAAGCAAGGATCAAATAGCCATGGATTTAAGATAGAGAATACACAAATGTTCACAGCATTGCTTATGATTGAGTGAGCAGGGCCTCAATGTCTTTACTCTGCTTTTGCAGAAACTTTGACAAGTAAAGTTTTATGAATTTTTGCTCATGTATGAATATAATCATGTAGGTTTGTATGCTGAGAATAAGTGACCTTTTAGGTATCAAGGAGGTCCAGGTTAAAGATATCGGGCAACCATGCATGAAGGAGGAAGGACATTTCATGGCAGTGCTCATGGTCATGAGTATACAGGAGCTCATGATATACATTTACAATGTGCTCTAGCCTGGTGTTGAGACCAGAAATTTACAATGTGGTGCATTCTATGATGTTGATCATGCACTGACTCCTCCAGCATTCTATCTGATGGTTTTTCTTGTATCTGGCATTGCTTGCACCAGCCATGTGACCTTGTATAACAAGTCCCTGGTCATGATCCATATACTTCGCTTTTGGACATTATGGATTACAGCTGTGCCTCAATTTGTTAAGCTGCAGGATTTTGTTTGGTTTTAAGCTTGGTTTTAATTGTAGAGTTTTGTCACATATTTTGTATGCTTATTGTATAGTCATGCCAATTATGTTATTCATCACTTACAACTTATGTTTGTGCCTACTGTGGATATTTACAATGAAAATAACCTAGCATTTATCTACCTTGAGCATATTGTCATGCAACAGACAGTTTTGTCTGCAAGTTTTGCTTGTAAAATTGAGCAGCTTTTCTAATTGTGGTATGCATTGATTTGCAAAAGCACAAAGTGGTTGATGCTGACATGAGGCAGGCACTGGTTTCTCAAAGCTGTAGTTGTCCAGCCCCAGCAGACCGCACTGGTATCTTTCCCATCTCGCCAATCCCTCCGGCCCCGCCGGTCTCTGCGCGTCACGTGACCTCGACTCGCCCCTGGCGGCAGTCGCCTCTGGGCGGGGCGGTTCGTGAAAGTGTCTGGAGGCAGCCGGGGGCTAGGCCGGTCCGAGTCCGCTAGCTGACCTTGCCTTCCTCCTGGAGCAGCCGGTCGGATGCCGTCCGCGGCCGGCTCGCCCCTGCCAAGGCCTCTTCGCGCCGCGCTCGGGGCCCGGCACCGTCGGCCCGGGACGTCCGGTCGGCGGCCCAGTACCGCCGGCCGGGAGAAATCACGGGGACCGTGAGAACTCTGGGAATATGGGGTGGGTCTGCGCTGACTGAGCACTGCGATTCTGACTTCTCCCCGCGGTTGCCCAGCTGGGGCTCACATGTTGGGTGGGCCACGAGCTGCGTTGGTTGCGGCTTTGCTCACTGTCGCCGGGCGTCTCTGCGCCCCGTCGGGGCCGTGCGTGCGTGCGTGCAGCTGGGGTGATGTCCTGGCGGAAGCTGTCTACTTTAAAGGCGATTGTCTGTCTGGACAATCTGACTTCACCATAGTCATGGCACGTGGCGTGCACGTGCCGACCTGGACACGGATGCTGATACGGAATGCAATGGAATGGTCTCCGCTTGTAGTTGGTTGAGATTGAAGTGATGAACGTCGTTTCTGCCGCCCGCCGCGGTCTCGTCGGATGGTCTGAATGATTCAGCACCTGGCCGCCGTCACGTGTGCGCGCTGTACAGAGCAGATGACTGGTGCCGCGAATGCGTGGCCGGCTGGCCTTGTGCGCAGCCTTTCAAATTGGTCTGGCCGTCGTGGTAAGGTTACTAGGAAATTCGTCTTGCCTCCAGTGACGGCCGGCTAGTCCTTGGGTTGTGGTATGGCTCGGCGGGTCGTTAAAGGGATGATGGTGAACCACGCCCTGTTATGTGATCACTTGAGCGACGTCAGAGGTGATCCTCCGCCGACCAGCCAGTGTTTGAACATTCGGCCACTTGGTTGACAGGGATGTCTGCCAACCAAGTGGCAGACATCCCTGTCGTGCTACTGCGCCTCCGGCCTTATAGTTAACTGCATGCTGTTCCTGCTCAGAATCGGTTATTCATCATTCAGTCGTCAGCCGGGCGGCGGTCAACTCTGAATCTCAGTGCCTCGGGCTTGACGGGTGGACTTAGCAGGTCAGGTGACTGGGCTAGAGGTCAGAGTGCAACGGATTAACCCCAGTGAATCGCATCCTGGGGCTGCCGGAGAGCCAGCATTCTTGTAACATGCATTTATATTGACAACCTGCGCACCCCACTGGATGATTTTTGGAACGCTGCGTTTGGAACGCTGCGGCCAGCCCACATCTTTGAGAATTCCTACACCCTTGTGGTGCGCCTCACTGACTCTGGCCATCCCACGTCGTGCTGGCCCACCTCGGCCTCGGGGCTGTGAGTCGCCTCGCCACGATGGCTGCAAAGCCGGCCGCCGGAGTACCGGCGTGGGCTGTCGGGGCGTCGCCCTTCCTGGCCCCTGCCCGACGCCGCCGTTGCAACAGCCCCGCCTCCCGAACAGATGACCGCTTACGACACGCCGACCGGTCGCGACCCACTGTTGGGGTTGTGCAAACGGCCGCGAACCGGTCCGGCCGTCAGCACCCGTTCGGCCCGTGTGGCGGCGAAAGGACCAGCGGACTGACCGACCGTGCGCACGTGTCTGCGCACGTGGCCGCCTCTCGCCCGCGCGGGGCTCCTCTGCCGTGCCGGGCCTCCGGCGAAGGCGGCCCCTTTCGCGTACTAGCCTTTGCTTACGGGTGAAGAGTACGATTTTGTGGTGGCGAAGTGGGGGACTTTTTAATAGTGGGTTCTTCTGAGGCTCCGATTGGGCGAGCGGCAAGGGAAGATCCAAGCAGGTCTTGTCGCATCCCCTCTCGACCCCCCCCCATGCCCGCCTTTTTTGCGATAGATGGCTCCCGACTGGACACTAAAAATTCGCGGGATGCGTACTCACTGAGCTCCCACTAAGAAAATCTTGGCTGCGTCCCTGGCGAGTGGCTAGCGTGCTGTGATATACGAACAGAAGTGGGTGTATCGGCTGATGCAGCCGCCCCCCAGTCGTCTATCAGCTGTTATCCGCCCAGAGGTGGGTGTGAAGTGTCCAGCAGCATGTCTTGTACGGCGCTCTCAAGCCAGACCTGGCTGATTGACCCGGCTGCGTAAACGGGTCACCAGATGCAGACTGAAATCCGGACGGCTGTCTTGGGCAACTTTCCTGAGCCGGCTGGCTCTAATAAAGAATTCTGTTCCGCTCGGTTTTGACTCTGTCCTATCCCGTGCTGTGGGGGGTATCCTCGCTCCTGCCGGCGGCGCTCGCCCGCGCTTGGCTTGCCCGGCGGCCCCGGCGGCCCGGGCTACTAAAATAACCTTTCAACCAAGCTGAGTATCGCTCGCGTATACAGTCATTATTTACTGCGATGCTACGCCGTCGACCGTTAAGTCAACTTATCCAATAAACAAGCCATGGACGGCCCATTCTGCAGTTGTCAGACTGTTGATCTTCCTTAGCACCAGACTGGTCAGCTCGAACCTTTCTGTATCATGCGTCACCGGTTTAATAGCAGCACTTGTCTAATCCAACATCGCTGATCCCGGCCCGGCGTGTCGCTGGGGCCGCCGGTTCAAGTATCTGGTTTCCGCCGCCCCCTCCCGCCGGCCCAGGTGCCCCGGCGGGTCAAGGTCCGCGTGCTTCCGGTAGCGTTTGCAAGATTGGTCACGACCCGCCCACGGCACGGAAACTCCGCTCGGGCCGCCGTCGAGGTCCACTCCACTCTGCCGGGCCAGGGGCGTGTCCGCTGGTCACGGCCCGCCCACAGCGCGGAAACTTCACTTGGGCTGCCGTCGAGGTCCGCTCCACTCCGCCGGGCCAGGGGCGTGTCCGCTGGTCACGGCCCGCCCACGGCACGGAAACTCCACTCGGGCCACCGTCGAGGTCCACTCCACTCCGGCGGGCCAGGGGGCGTGTCCGCGGCGCCAAACCCCTTTGTCCACTCGGGCCGCCGTCGAGGTCCACTCCACTCCGGCGGGCCAGGGGCGTGTCCGCGGCGCTAAACCCTTCCGCAGGTCTCGATTCCCATGTCATCGATGAACAGGAAACTGGATGCGTTGGTCGGGATAAATTGTTTGTGGTCCACACAAATCCATACGACACAGATAGAAAGTTCGCGGATTCGTACTTCCGATCGACTAAACTAGGCGCTGTCTTGACGCTCCTCAGACGTCAGATGTGCACATCACAAGTGCACTAGAGTCTGCGTGTGCGTATCTGTTGGGTCGGTCGCTCGGGTCTGTCCGTTTAGAGATGCGCGGCTGTCGAAATTCGGGAAGCTCGTGGGTTCCGCAGTGCTCTGAATTTGGAGAGCCGGCACGACTCTCGCGCAGGCTGGCGCGTGAGTTCGGTGAACAAACTGGCTAAACAAATCGCATTAAGCATGCTATTGGATTTTCAGGAGGTGCATCAGTCCGGGAACGAAGCGACCGATGCAGCATTTGTATACGTTGCCCAGTTGAATTGTTAAAGTTGCCTTGATTCCTAATTAGTTTTAATATAATTCCTAGAGTGCCCGCATGAGCGGTCTTGCACTTTTCTGAAGCTCTAAAGCCAATGAGTGGGCGGTCAAATGAGTGTAGATTTAAGTGACTACTTGCGGCGACGCGCTAGGTTTGTTTGCCGAATGTTGCGCATTGCTCCGATCCACAGGGGCACATTGCCAGTCTTGTGGACGCGGCAATGAGAAGCCTCGCCCGGCCTTATTTCACCCATGGCTCAATGGTGACGCTAGTGTTGCGCTCAAGATGCTTTTAACGCGGCCTGTGCTTCTGTACGGGCCTTGCGGCGCACTGCGTCGGACGGTGGCGTGAAACTGCCGTACTTGACATCCACTCGTCTAGCCGACTTTATTTCCTAACTAAATTCAGTTACGAGGTACTTGTTGGCTCTTAACGATAACGCTGGCCTGTTTGGCTGCCTCGTGGCCTCTCTTGACCTCGCGCTGATTCAGTGGAGATGGCCGCTTTGGCAGGAAGCGCCATCCCGTGCCCCGGACGGAGAGTAAACAATGCGACCACCGAATGTGAAACACGCCCCGCGCACTGCACCTGACCTCGATCTGTTAACCCGCGGAACTGGGCTACGCATCCACATGAACTGAGTGCGCGCTGGGGACGAGCGCGGACGAGAAGAGAGGATGACCGCTGCTAGCCTGCATCCTTGAGCTACTTGGCGGGTCTGGTTTTTGGTGTGTGGGCCCGCACGGGCGCCGCCCCAGTGCCCCACTGCTCGGACGTGACCTCCAGGCCAGGGTCGGGCATCCGCTCGCCGCCCGGCAACAAAAAGGGCCCGCCTGACCCCATCGCTGTCTGTCACTGGACAGCTGGGGCTAACTCTGCGAATAAAAAACCTCCATTGGGATCTGGCCTTGAAGCACGGTTTACATTGACGAGTGTATACCTTACAGTGTATGGTGGGTATCATCTTACCGAGGTGATTTATTCAAGGAGTTACGCCAGATGTGGCGGCATTCAGGTCAATATACAACCTCTGTATATATCCACTTTGTCTTAACTGACCTTCGCTATGGCTCTGATTCCATTGGGCAACGCCGGTGGTCTAATCATTGGGCACCTTCGATTGCCTGAAAATTATGTATTTTTACGCGGGCGCTGTTCTGCTTTGCACATCGTAGCGACGTGAACACTTGAAAAACTTTGAACGGACGTCTAAGCGCAATAGATAATTGTCTATGTGCCGACTTGTACTAGTCATGGCGCAATGCAATTCGATCTGATAGCTTTTCAAGCTTGGCATGACGGTAGTTTTGGGCTCCTTCGATACTGAGACTCATCAGCCAGATTCAGAGTACCAATAATTCAGTGGACAGTTGGCCTGGGCGGCACTGCGGGCGAGCGTTTGGAGGCTACCGGCAGCAGCTGGGCTCCATGCGGAAGCTCGTGTTGGACCGCCGTCCTCCGGCCTCTGTCCAGAGATGGCTCGGCCTCAGACGGCTCCGATTGGTGATGAGTGTGTGACGGCCGTAACGGCCTCCAAGGGCGGTGTTCACCGCTCGGCCTCACAAGGCCTATTCAGGTGTTATCCAAGGACGCGAGCGACTTCTGTCGTTTCCGCGACGCCCTGTAAATTGCGATGGATTAGCGGATGACTGCGCCTGGAGGCATGAGCCATGTTTGGCCCATGCTGATATCCCGGGAGGACGGACGCGGGTACAAGTGTCCATGCGACCTTCCTAGTACGCTGTCTCGACGCAATATCCAGCAAGTCGATGGTGCTGGATGGCGAGTGGCTATCCGGCTGGGTATGTTTGGAGATAGGGTAGGATGGGATATAGGATATTGAAGGTGGAATAAATTCAGCGCGATTGATCTCGTAAGACTCCTTTTTAGCTTTTAGAGGTGTCGTCACTCGCGGATAATGTTGCATGGTATGGGAGGACGCCGCGTGGTGGTGAGTTAGAGTCCGGCGAGCGGCTTTCTGTCGGCTCCCTGTGACGACCTCGTTCTCCGTTCCAGGCATCTTTGCGTACCTGAACCACCTGACGCCGAAGAGCCGGCGCGAGGTGCTGGAGATCCTGATCCAGGGCCTCCAACGTCTCGAGTACCGGTACGTCTCTGGCCTCCGCTCTCCGGCGAGCCTGGCCCCGCGCCGGCCGCCAGAGACCGCCGGCCGTACTCTGCCCCCGGCCACGGTCTGTTTGTGCGTCGAGCCGGGGCGAATTTACCGACGCTGGGCGCCCCATGCGCATTCCTGCGTGTTTACGCGTGGAGTCCGGCGCTCAGGCTATTGCGTCATTTTCCTTCTCTCCTACCCCCCCCCCCCCCCCCCCCCCCCCACCGTCGCCCAGCCAGAGATGACCTTTTAGACAGTTCGACGAGCCCTCTCACTGCCATCACGTGATCTGATGGGACGGGGCCAGGGCATTAGGAATGTGAGGGGCCTTGTCTGGTCTGGCTGCCCCGTGCGGTTGGTAGGGAATGTGCATGGATTGGCCGCCCGGGCTATGATCTGTGTAGCGAGTGCAGCTTACAGCCTCGGCTGCCAACACGAGCATGTGTGATCTTTGCGTGCTGAGTTGACGTCTGCGGAGTGATGCACAGCATGTCTGAGGCGGGTTCAGAGCTGGACGATTTGCAGGAACTCGGACCAATTCGTAGGAGTTTGGAAGACACTTGACGTCCGCCTCCCTCCGCTTGGAAAATTCTGGCCTAGTGCCTGATACCCAGTTTGCCATTCTCACCGAACGTCGCATTCACCCTAATGTGACTCGTATCTGCTGCCGAGCGAACATCAAGCCGAAACCATTGTGAAGGATCACGCCAGTACGTCTCGGCATAATCTGCTCTTGTGTCGATAAATTTCGCGAGACCTCAGCCAGTCTTGTTTTGCCTTCCACCAGGGATTTCCCCGGCCCTCCTCGGTCGGAGGAGATGAGTAAGTGGTGTTCATGGCCCTTCACCGGCGGGCAATTACGTCAGGATTTTTTTGTAATTGGATTGCCCTTGTTTACGAAGTCTGGCAACAACGTTTGGAAAGCCCGCTTCTCTGACAAACACGTCTGAGAACCCTGCCGACAGCGGCGCTGGTAATTGCCTCTCACCAGCCACAAGGGGCCGCTGGTGAGGTCCGCCTCCCCCGCCCCTCCCCGCGAAGGTGACCCTTATGGACGGCGGGGTCTGATCACCTGTGAGATGTTTGTGATTTGAACAGAAAAGCCCGGATGGAGTGATGGAGTAGGGTGGCGGGGCCGAGCGCCGACCGCCCGCGGGAGGGGCGAGCGGGGCAAGGGGACGCTGTTGATCGGCTCAGTCGCCGGCCCGCGGGCGCCGCCGCCGCCGTCGCTGCCGCCGTCTGGGAGCCTGTTCGCACCCGCCTAATGAGTCTTTGGCCGCCGTTCGCAGGGGATATGACTCTGCCGGTGTGGGGGTGGACGGCAAGGATGGCAGCATTGCCGTCTTCAAGGAGAAGGGCAAGGTGAAGGTGCTGGAAGACGCTATCTTCTCCGGTGGGTGCGCACGGCCGGGCTCGGCGACGTGGGCGCCGAGTCTAGGTGCGGCGGCTCTCTGGCCGCGGGCCGGCGGGGTACTTCGCACCAGTCCCACGTCAGAAACAGGAGACAGAATTCCGAACGTGTTAAATCACAGGGATGGGTACATTCTTCATCACACGCCTGCGAGACGAAAGCTACACCTTATGTCTGCTGAAATGATCGTACAGCTATCTAATGTTGTGCCAGTTGACGGCTGCCTTGTGGAGCGAACTGCACGTTGCAGTACACGCCACCCCTGTCGGCTGCCTTCGTCGCTCGGGCGCGGCGTTTGTGACCGCCGTTCGCTCGCGCCGTCCGCAGGATCCAACGACCTGGACATGGACGAGATCCTGAGCACCCACATCGGTATATCTCACACGCGCTGGGCGACCCACGGCGTGCCCGCCCCGGTCAACGCCCACCCGCAGCGCTCGGACGAAGACCAGCAGTTCATCTGCGTGCATAACGGTGCGTGTCGCCCCAGCCGCCGGCTGCAGCGGCGCTGGCGGCGCTGGGGGCTGACTGGCGCGGTCGGGACGGTGCGCTGGGTTAGCCAGCGACGCGTGTAGCCACAGGTGACCGATGCCGCGTCTTGACGGTGCGTGCCTAGTTGGTGATACGAGACCCCTCATCTGGCGCTGCTGTATTGATGTGCGGCCATCACTCGCTGGCTCTTGCCGTGCTGCCAGCCGCCATGCCAGCGGCGGCGCCGAGGTGTTGGCTGTGCGCGGTGCGGTTTCCGTGGTCGCCTTGCCCGAGATGGTCCCTGCCTTGGCCGTGGAGCTCTCGCTAAGTCGGCTCCCGGCTGCGCCCTGTGCATGCTGCTCAGGGCTTCGCAGCGGCTGCAAGTCGTGTCTGATGCTAATTCGGCTGCGGGTTGCACGTGGTGTGATCCACCTTGCCATCGTGCGGGCAGTAGGCCGGGTGTAGCGCTATTTATATTACGAGCGTGCAGTGAACCACGTTAAGTTTAGGTGCAATGTGTTTTGTCGTGGCGTGACGTTATCTGTGTACCGATATGGCCTGAGGAGGAGGATAATGCGGCATAAGATCCACGAAATACGTGTGCGGTTTGTAATGGGCAATCACTGCTCATAGTTGAGAATTGTCGTGAAGTGTTTTGTTCTTGTGCAAGGTTCGGTGTTACATTCGTCACGCAGAGCTCCGACGCCTTTTTCTGGAGTAAACCCTGAACAAAGTCTTAGTCAGATTGAGTGCGGTGATGGTGAATACTGTAGGCGGAAAGCGTACAGGCGCTTTTTCTGTGCGTTGCATCCTGACAACCTCGCTTTTCGCTCCGCCGCCAGGAATCATCACCAACTACAAGGATATCAAACAGTTCCTAGTGGCGAAGGGCCACCGTTTCGAGTCGGAGACCGACACGGAGATCATCGCCAAGCTGACTCTGCACATCTACAACGACCACCCGAATCACACCTTCCAGCAGATCGTCGAGATGGTCATCCAGCAGCTGGTGGGTGTCCGGCCGCCGCCGCGGTCCTCGGAGGACTGGTCCCGTGTGTGAGGAGCGGTCTCACGCCTGAGAGGAAACCGGCGAAGGTCCGAAACGTCGGCGAGGAGGGCTTGCTCAGGACGGAGAGTCTCGTGGTGGCTGGTCCCGTCCGGCCCGGCGTCAGTATTGCGTGATCAGCAGTTCTTGCCTCCGATTGCTCCCTGGAGACGGCGCCTGTGCTATGACTGACGGGCACCGTTGCTTCCACGTATCTCCTTTAATGGCGACCTTCTCTGGACATGTCGCGGCCCCTCCTCCGCAAACTGACACCCCTTCGGATTGCCAGTCGTCCATCTGCTTCACTTGACCCCGCCTAAACAGACGCCCATGTCTGGTCCCGCGCGCTCAGCCGCGCTGCCTCCCGCGCACCACCACCGGCCGTCGGTCGCAGGATCGCCGGGCCCGCCGGGCGCAGCGCTACCCTTCGATCTCGGTGTGCAGTCTCTGACCGATAGCCGGCCAGCTGGAACACTAGGTCGTCGACCTCTGCCCCGCCCAGTTGGCCAGCACCCGGCCTTGGAGACGGGCTAACTCCGTCCACCGCCGTCTACGTCGCTGCTCGTGTTCGATTCGCACTAATCGGCTGTTTGTATCTGGTGTCATCGTGAGGGGCGCGGCGCCAGCGGACGCCGCGTGCTGCGGCGACCATGGGCGATGCATGGCCTCGGCGCGACCCGCCGCTCTGGGTGAATGTCCACCTCCGGGGGTAATCCGGCCGGCCGGGCCAGTTTGGCGGGCCCGTTCACCGCCGCAGTATCGCAACAGCCTCCGCTGGCCGTGTCGGCAAAAGTCCTCGGCTAGCACATGGGCCGGGGATTTAAAGGTGTGCTTTCTTCGCTCTATTTTTTCGTAATGTTTTTGATGCGTACCTCGGTGATTGCCTCAACGAGCAATGTTGACTGTGCACAGGCGGGCTGCTCTAGAGCGTGGTTGAGCATCACGTTTTTTGGGCCTCGAGCCGGTCGCGGCTCTGGTCATGCCGCAATGTTCATGTGAGGGAGAGTACGTTGGGCAAGCGGCGCCGGCTGGACCGCGGGCGCCACGGCATTGCGCCGCCGCCCTCGGTCCGCGCAGTCTCGGGGTGGCGCGCACCGGGACTGCGAAGGACTGACGGCTCCAGAGGACTCCCTCCTCAGCAGTGACCTTCCCGGCCGCCGCCTGGCGCCGGGGCGTGCCCGCCGCGGCGACGGGGCGTCTGTCGCGGAGAAAGCACGGGCGCGAAGGCCGCCGAATGGAAAGGTCTTATCTGCCGATCCCGGTGTCGCCATCGTCCCCGATCAGGGGACGGTGAGCGGCCGAGCCCCCTCACGCGCCGTCCTGCCGACCCTGGGGAGGGGCTCACGGAGCCGGGCTGACTTCTGCCAATGGCCAGGGGCCGCCGGCCTGATCAGTATCGGCGTCCTCCCATCAGGGGACCGGCGTCGGTCGCCTCGACTGACGCCGGCCGGCGCGCTGGCGCCGGGTTGTTTGTCGCGCGGCGTGGACGCCCCCCGCGTGCTGGCCGCGGCGTCTGGCGGTAGCTGGTCGTCCGTCCCGGTGTTTGGCTGCGATCGTTGGGGCCGGCGCCGGCGGCACCCGCGCATACCGCGGGACCGGTGCCGCCACCCGGACGCGGCTAGCCTCTGACCGGGCCGTTGCTGGGCTGGCGCGCTGATCTCCGCGCCGGGGTCGGGCGGAGGCTACTTCTGATGAAGATGCTCTGGTGCATGAGCGGCCGGCTCGCGGAATCAACTTTCTCTCTCCCTCGGATGACATCTTAAGCCGTTGCGGAATGCCTCACGTGACCGGGCTGCATGCTGTCTCTGTACTTAATTATGCTGACCGGCTGCTGCCCTTTAGCTCGCTCGCTCCGGCATTATGCCGTCTTCTCATAGGTGGATTATGGAGCATGTGATCGTTATCATTAACGTATGGGAACGGTCCATGCGACAAAAAGGAGCAACTCTTGCACCTCTTGTAGGAGCAACTCTTGTCCCGCCCTTGTACGCCGTTCACCACTCGTGATCGTAAAGCTCCCTGCGCGTTTTTTTCTCCGTCTCCTCTTCGTCTATCTCGTTTTATCTCTGGTTCTCCGATCCCTCCTGGTTTCCGCACGTTGCCCGGCTTCGCCCTTGTCCGCTCCTGCCGGGCCGGACGTCCATCTGCCTGTGAACGCTCGCCCAGATCGCTGCTATACCCGCCCGCCGCGTGGCTCGCCGGCCCCGGGGGTGCGCCGCTGCCATGGTTACATCGACGGCCGTCGGCCGTGGACGCGCCGCGCCGCGCCGCGCCACGTCGGCGTCGATAGGGCTCGCCGGCGGCGCCCCTGGCTGCCGTACGTGTGGCCGGGGCGGGGCGGGGAGCCGGGGTACAGGTGGCCTCCCCGCCGGCGTCAACCCGCATTGATAGCGGCAGCGACGGCTGGCGACGGCTGATGTCTACGGCTTGCGGAACCAGATTGCGGGATCAGGTCGGGGCCACCGCGATATCCGCGGGGCGTCACCGGCACACCCGGGTGCGCAGGTTGCCCGGTTGTCTGACGGAGACTGCCTCGAGGCAGCGCTGCTGGACGAGACCGGGAAGACGGCGGTGGTTAAACGCCCGGTCATGGTCGGCGCGGGTCGGTCGGTCGGTGCGAGTGGCGCAGGCTTCGTCTGGAAATCGTAGTCCGTGCTTGCTGCAGACACGGGCCCGACGCGTGACACATGGCGAGTTGGAATGCGTGCCAAGCTCACAATGTTTACGAGAGTGGACTCTGCCTCCCTTATCTTCTCTTGCAGAATTAATTTGATAGTTTTCCGTTTTCACTGATCGGGTTGACGCGGGAGGTGGACCTTTCAGTCTTCTGAATCTTCAGGTTGTCGATGCGAGCCCTCCCCCCCCCCCTTGACCGGGCTCTCCCGTGTCTGGTCTGCAGGAGGGCGCGTTCGCACTGTGCTTCAAGTCCAAGCACTTCCCAAACCAGTGCGTGGCAGCTCGGCGGGGCTCTCCCCTGTTGGTGGCCATCAAGACCAAGGAGCACCTGGCCACCGACCACATCCCCATCATGTACAGCAAAGGTAGGCCGGCGGGCGGTCACCTGCGGCTGGTAGTGTCCGGACAGGACGCGCCAGAGCTGAAGCCGTGCCAGCCCCGTCTGGCAGCTCAGCTGCCTGGCGTCTGGTAACTCTGCCGCCAGAGAGGACGAGCAGAGGAAGCGTTCATGTCGGTTGCGCTTGGTAGAATCTGGTAGAAAAATGTAGCATTGGTAACCGAGTTGAAGTGCGATTTTAATGCGTGTTTTTGTAGAGGTTTCTTGGTTGATGCGATGCATTGTTCTGTGAACTGCCACTAGTTGTACCTGTAGTTTGCTTTGCGGCAGCGTGCTGGCTTCAGAGCCCAACAGTTGGTCGGCTTCTCGCAAGATCAGCGGTATGTCTGGCACGGGCGCCAGTCGTACGTAACGCTGGCGGCCGCGCTTCACTTTTTCCGTTGCGTCACGACTTAATCTAAATGGCCGGATGATAAACTGATAGTCGTATCGGCCGGGGTGCGAACGATGGCCACGCGTTGGGCGACGGCTATCTGGACTCCCTGTCGACAATGCTAATGCTGCAGACGGTGTTATCTGGCGGAACCTAAATTGCTCGATAGTGCCTCGGTGCGGTCGCTTGCACCAGTTAGCTGAGCGAGGCCTGTGCTGATTCCTGGTCTGTTCAGGATCATACCAAAGGTCGCGGGCGTCGCCTGACACCTGCATGGCCGGCGCGATGGTTTCCTAACATTGGGCGTGGGCTGCGGTACGCCATGGCTTGGCGCTAAACCCCTGGCGTGTTGGCTGACTGTGGCAACGGCCGTGCGGCAGCCTCTGTGCGCTCGCCGGCCTTGACTAACCCTGCCCTCCTGCACCTCCCCCGCCGGCGCATGCTAACCGCGCTGTGCTCCCAAGGCTCTGGCGAACCGGTAGAGAAGCTCTCGCTGGCGGCCATCGGGCTGTCTGGCCGAGGTACGTGTTCAGCCGCCAAGGCTGCGGTGCCCTTTGCATGCTGCCGCGCTGGCTCCGTCCCCGCGGGGGTTTGGCTGACTAGTGCACCCAGCTTTCTCACAGTCGGCTGGCTCTCTGACGTTTGGCTGCAGCGAACGGAGGCCGAACTGCAGATGCCAGTGCGTGGTCGGAAATAAAAGGCATAGAAAGATCGGTGGAATTACGTGCCTAACAGTCTAAGTCGCCTGTTATCGTTAAATTGTCCCTTACCTATATACCTCATTTGGCGCGCAAATGAAAAGCGTCTGCAGTTTCGTCTCTAAGCTGCTGTCTACTTGATGTGGATGTGCGCATGCGTAGAGTGGAATGTATCTGCCAGGATGCCTTGGGTTCGGTCCCCACCTACCTTTGCATGATTCCTGTTCGCGCTGGCTTCAGGTGCGCACGACATGGCTCTGCATGCATCCGTGTGTTTGCAGGCTTTCGTAGACCCTGTGTCGGGCATCTGTAGGTCGTAGAGCGTTTGCGGTTTCATTACGCATGTTAGGTTGCGTGTGGTATTTCCTGTTCATTTTTTGTCACGTCGGCAGTACCGAACGGTTTGCCTCGGACCCAGACTCTCTGCCCTCTACATTCAAAGCTATCGCCTTTCTCGATATTACCAGTTTGGTGATTTCTCTTGAGTTGAGGCGCCTCGGCGGTCTGAGCGCCAAGACGCGGCGTGGTTTCTTCTGTTCTCGAGTGGGCGAGCGTCTGGCTCCGGGGGCCGGGTGCGGCGGCCGACCGCGCGTGTTTCGCGCTCACTGTAGCCCTCTCTGTTGTCTCTCCCTGTCTCTGCTGCTGGCTGTGGCGCATGCTCCATCTTCTCTCTCTCTGAATCTGCAGACGACTGTCCAGGTACGGTGGTGGCACGGGCCGGCCGCGGGCCACAACCACACAATCACACAATCACACAACCACACAACCACACAATCACACAACCACACAACCACACAATCACACAATTACACAATCACAGGCGCACGGCCAAGGGCTGCTACACACGGGAGGGGGGGGGGGGGGGTGCGGGCCTACAGAGCGGAAACACGCGCAAATTGAAGTCTACCTAGAACCGTATCATTGAACCGTAGTTGGCATCATTAGTAAGCAGAAACCGTAGTTGGCGTTGTATTCCATGGAGTCCCGGCGCTGTTTTTTTTTTTCGTGCGCCCACTAATTTAGTTCCGTGTACTGTGTACATTTGATTTTTTATTGCGCTTGTTTGTTTTAGGTTTGTGTTTGCTCGTTGCACATATGGCGTTTTTGTCGGCATGTCATCTGATACACGTGCCGTTTTATTTGCACCTATTTATTAACTGTTTTTGCTTTTACTCATCTGTTCTCGTTTGTTTCTGCTTGCATGTAGTATGTTTTGTTTGCATTTCTAGGCGACGATACCAAGGCACGGAAGATCAGCCCCACAGACAGTAAGTGGTTTCCTTCATCTGGCATCGCTATGCGGCCGCGAGTGTGCACGATCACTGCAGTGATCACACGGATCAGATCACTCGCATCTCTGAGCAGTGCAGTGCACATGATCACTATTACTGTGTGCACTTTTATGGGATGGCGCTAGGCAGGAGCTTGCGCTGAAGGAGTCCATCATGCTGTGGCTGGTAGCCTTACACGGTTTTCCATGTGGGATGTAGTTGCAGTAATGACTAGGTACTGCTCCACCTTGGGAGGCTGGTTGGCGAGGCGAGGCGTGCTGCATCAGTATATTTTCACCCCTTGGAATGTGCCCGCTTCATGAACACTTTGTACCTTCCTCTCTGTTTTCTTGTCAGCACCGGGGCAATTCTGTCATCCAATCTTGCTTTCTTCATGGAGGAGCGGTTTCGCGGCCGGTTTTCAAGTCGGATGTTGTGCTCGCTCCTCCTGATCACCCCTTTTCAATGTCGTGACGCATCGATCCAGCCGCGCAGGACTCGATCAGTCTCTTCGCTTCCTCCGCTTGTGTGGTCTGACTGGCATTATGCATCGCTTCGCGCCGAACATTTTTCGCTGTTAAACTTCTCCCCAGCTCTCCAGGCCACCTAGTTGTGACTGGTGCATATATTTTCGGTTGATCGGCTTCTTTGGCTGACTCCGCCGTCTGACTCCCGATGTCCTGCAAAGTTACCACTCTGTGTCGGTGCCCGTCCGACACTTTTTCGCTTACATGTCGCGTCTGTCTAGTCTCCGTCCCCAGTCTACCCCACGTCGTCGCTTGCCTCTCTTCGCGTCTCCCCCGCGCCGCGAGTGTCCCGGTGTGGGCGCGGGGTCTCGCGCGGCAGCCGAGCCCTGACGTGCTGACATCATGCCTTGTATTGGCGTCACTGTGACGTGCACTGACGCGGCGCCGCCGGCAGTGCGCCAGCCGCCACGAAACGTGCCGCTCATCCCTCGCTCCGAGTCGACGGCCGAGTTCCTGCCGACCGGCGACACGCAGGAGATAGAGTTCTTCCTCGCCTCTGACGCCTCGGCTGTCATCGAGCACACCAACCGCGTCATCTACCTCGAGGTCGGTGGGCGGCGCCGCTGCGATCCCGGGCGCCACGGCGTCGGCTGTGCTGAAATGTGATCGTGTTTGACCTGGCTGTCTAATGGTCTGCTGAGAACCGCGGGAGAACGTTTGATTGGAGATGGTGGCTGCTGCGGTTCTCGCTTGCTCGCTCGCTTCTCGCGACTCTTGCTCGCTCTCGCGGTACAATCTTGCCTGTATATTCCCATGAATGCCGATTTCATTGTGGGGAAAATGAAATGTCTCGCCACTCTTCACTCGTTCGTATTCGCTCATCAGTCGGCAGTCGTCGTTCACTCAGCTGCCAGTCGCTCGGCCATTGCCTGGCCAATGCCGGGGCAGTGCCCGTTCTGTGTCGTGTCTGTGGTGCGCCCCGCGCCCGGGGCTGACCGGCCGTGACTCCGGTCGTCAGGACGACGACGTGGCCTGGATCAGGGACGGCATGCTCACCATCCATCGGCTGAAGCGGGCCTCTATGGACGAGAGCAGCACCCGTGAGGTGCACACGCTCATGATGGAGATCCAGGAGATCATGAAGGGTGCGTACCATGCGCTCCGCTGGACGGTGGGGCTGGGGGACTGGTCATACATGCGGAACATTGCCTGCGTGTTCCACTGCGATGAGAAGCGTGCCGCAGTTTTGCGTTGATTATGTGTATTGAGGGCATAAATGGTATGTTCTCGGCCGCCTTGTGTCTGTGACTTTCATATCGTTACTCTGTAGATGCTGATGAAGGAGATGACGGCTAATGAACCTACCTTGCCCCGTAGGAAGCTACAGCTCGTTCATGCAGAAGGAGATCTTCGAGCAGCCCGAGTCGGTCGTCAACACGATGAGGGGCCGCATCAACTTCGACACCGAAACTGTCGTGCTCGGCGGGATCAAGGCGAGTTCTCGTGGCTTTTCGATCGCCGGTTTCCGTGCAGCCCGGCCGTTTGTTCCGCTGTTCTTCTTTCGGTTCAGACACTGGCTGCATGGGGTGTCCACCCCGTAAGTTGGTTCTGTCGTTAGTCTCTATTCGTTCCAGCATCAGGTTGCTTCCCGTGTATTCTGAGGTCGCGCTTACCATGCATGTGGTTTGTGTGCGCTCCAGTAAAAGAGTTGATGAGCACCCCAGCGCTCGCTCGCCCTCCCTACACGAGGCACCTCTCCTGACACCGGCCCGCGTCGTCTGCCAGGAGTTCCTGCCCGAGATTAAGCGGTGCCGGCGGCTGATCCTGATCGCGTGCGGCACCAGCTTCCACTCCGCCATCGCCACGCGCCAGCTGCTGGAGGAGCTGACCGAGCTGCCGGTGATGATCGACCTGGCCTCAGACTTCCTCGACCGCAACACGCCCATCTTCCGCGACGACGTCTGCTTCTTCATCTCTCAGTCGGGTCAGTGGAGCGGCGCCGCTTCCGTCTGGCGGGTTGGTGGCATTGTCTCTGCTTTGGGAGCTGCGCTGGTCCTGCGTCTTTGAGGTGTGTACGATAGGAGCAGCTCTTGTCTTAACGCGCGTTATGTGGTCAAGGGCTAAAGGGTGGGACATTTGTCCCGCTTGCGGTGGTTTTGGTGACTTTGAACTCGGCAGTCCGTGTCTTGTCTGCCCACGCTCGCCACGTGAATCTGCCCACTCCGCCTGTCGTGCGGCTGACCTGTGTTTCGACCGGGCAGCCGTCATATGAGACGCCTTACGCACGGCATGGCAGCGCCTCCCGCCACACCGTTCGTATCGGCGTACCTCTGGTGCGCGCCCTGACCGGTGCTCCGGCGCTCCGCCAGGCGAGACGGCCGACACGCTGATGGCGCTGCGCTACTGCAAGACGCGCGGCGCGCTGATCGTCGGCATCACCAACACAGTCGGCTCGTCCATCTGCCGCGAGTCTCACTGCGGCGTGCACATCAACGCCGGCCCTGAGATCGGCGTCGCCTCCACCAAGGCTTACACGTCGCAGTTCATCTCGCTCGTCATGTTCGCGCTGGTTGTGTCCGAGGACCGGCTGTCGATGCGGCCCCGGCGCACCGAGGTGAGCTCCGGGGCGGGCCGAGGTGCGGCACCCGGTGCGAGGGGTGGCCTCGCAGTGCGGTGGGAGGTGGTGCGGTGCCTGGCGGGAGGGGGTGGCCGCGCGGTGCGGTCGGAGAGGTGGGGCGGCGCCCGTTGGGGGGGGGGGGGGGCGTGGCTGCGCGACGGGGTGGGAGAGGGGGCTGGTGGCGGTGCGGCGCGGTGGCGGATGGTGGATCAGGCGGGGCGAGCCAACTTTGCGAGCACGGGCATGGTGTTTGTGCTGTTGGGAGTGTCTTTGTCGGATGCGCAGCTGGATGGCTGTTTTTCTGTCTGTTCATTTGATGTCCTCTACGGTCATCTCGTTTGCCACTTTGGTGTGAGTTTTGCTCGGCGTGTAGTGCCTGTCATCCTGCCTGTGTTTTGAGCCCGGTGCCTCCCATCAGATTATTCGGGGCTTGAAGCAGCTGCCCGAGCTGATCAAGGAGGTTCTGAAGCTGGATAGCCGGATCGAGGAGATCGCCAAGGGCCTGTACCAGAACAAGTCTATGCTGGTGATGGGTCGCGGATACAACTATGCCACCTGCCTTGAGGGCGCGCTGGTTAGTTGGCGAAGGAGACGCGGTGTGGCGCCACTGGGTTGGGGTCGTCGTAGAGGAGATCTGACCTGTTACAAGGGACTTGGTGCTTTTGCTCGGGTTCTTGGCCAACATTAAATCTTCGGAGACTAGGTGAAGGCTGTGGTGCCGTCGTGTGATGTAGATTCATAGCTCGGGAAACGAGCGAGGGCTTGCTTATTTGGAGCTGAAGTGTTATGATGGCACGCGGGCGCGGGCTGCTGTGCGCGGTCTTCGATCATGTTTGGTCACTTACCTTGCCATTCAGATGTGTCATGTGTCCCCACTCCTGTCTCGTGGCCGGCCCTCTGAGCCACCGCCGCCGTCGCCGCCAGAAAGTGAAGGAGATCACGTACATGCACTCTGAGGGGATCCTGGCTGGTGAGCTGAAGCACGGTCCGCTGGCGTTGGTCGACCCCGGCATGCCGATCATCCTCATCTGCACCCGGGATCCCACCTTCGTGGTGAGTGTCTGCTGCCTGGTGTCCGCCCGGCAGCGCTCGCAGGACGCGTGCTCGCTCGCAGCGCTCCCGGGCACGGGGCGTGCAGCGGTCGTCTACCGTAAGCTCGCTCGCGGGACGCGGGGAGTGCTCCCGGGCACGGGGCGTGCAGCGGTCGTCTACCGCAAGCTTTCACCGCTGTTGTAAGCGACGCTTGCGTGTTGAAACAGCCGCAGTCTATTCTGACGCTGGGCTCAAATCCTCACAGCAGCGGACGCCGTTCGGTCGGTGGCCTCCCACGCCGGCTGAGGCGACGGCCGGGGAAACCGGAGGGGCCGAGGTGTCGCGCTCCTCTGAGATGGGGACCGGCGACGGAGTCCAGGCCGGACGGCCCCGCCCGGTCGTTCGCTGCTGTCACGTCACGCTTACCCGTTGCTCGTGTTGCAGAAATGCATGAACGCGCTGCAGCAGGTGACTGCCCGTGAGGGGCGGCCCATTATCATCTGCAACAACGGTGACCCCGAGCCGGCCCGATTCGCCAACGAGCTGCTGGAGATCCCGCCCACCGTCGACTGCCTTCAGGTGGGCGCAGCGAACCGGATGAGGTGCTGAGTGTGATTTCGTGGTAGAGAAAGCTGACAGAGTGGAATTGTGTTTTGTGACTCTATTCCTAGGAAGTGTCTGTGTTTGTGGTGAAACTGTGATAAGGCCTCATGTTGACCCGCCATTGACCGTGCCCGCAGGGAATCCTTACGGTCATCCCACTGCAGCTGCTGTCGTACCACGTGGCTGTAATGCGTGGATGCAACGTCGATTGCCCCCGCAACCTGGCCAAGTCTGTCACGGTCGAGTGACGCGCTCGCCCCGCCCCCTAGCGAGGATTTAATGCGTCGAAGGCCTCCGCCACGGACTTGCTGCCAGCTGGCTCAGTCGACGCTGCCCAGCGGCCGCGTACCTCACGAGAGGTTCGCGCCGTTGTCACCAGATGGCCGTGCGTGCGGGCGTTCTAGTGGCGGTGGCGGTGCCACACTTCAGTGGGATTGCAAAAGGAACTATTTGCCGCCGTCGATGTGGCGTTGGCTGGATGCCAGAGAATTGGTGAGGTTACATGTCTGGAGTGGAGGACGTATCATGTGTGTGTGCGTGGGGTTTGCCCTCCCCGTGTTCGGGACATGTTGACGCCGCTGCTGTGATTAGGTAATCGTCGTTGTATTTTTGGTAGGTCATCGGATACGACGCCGTCTCGTTCGCTGAAACAAGTGCCTTATTTCGTTGCAGTGAACGTTCGCTTGGTCACAGAACATGATTTTCATTTTCGTTGTGTGAACGAGGCTGCGTTGCATCTATTGTATATTTTCTTGGTTCTGCTATAATTTCCGGTTTTTCGTCGGTTTAGTGTTGGTATATATAGCTCCTAATGTCTGCAGCATGCGTGAAAGTAGACCGCATCTTGTGTCCATTTTGAGCGCAAGTGTGCATTATTGCTACCCTGAAGGTTTATCCGTACAAAATAACCCTGGGACATCCTGTGTGTTCTCTGAGTCTTGTTCTCTATCGCGAATGCGTGCTTGTAATTGACATTCCATTCAGCGGTGTCTGCCGCGTTGATGGTTGCTAGATGTCGAATGTCTTTGCCACATGTTGCTTTCGCGTGTACATTTTTTCAGGCATATACAATGGCTCTTGTCCACTCTTTTGTGTTTCTCGACTGGAGTCCTCGCTCGATTTTTGTATCTCGAGTCTTCGAATCTTTGTCCGGTGGGTTTCGGGGAAACACGACGGCGTTACTGCGGCTCGGAGGACGTCTGAAACAGTCTGACTCATGCCGGGCTGGTGAATCCGGGTCCGAATGTGGCGCATCCGACCACCGGTGTAACTGCCGTGCTCTGGCCGGTCCGGATGTCTGCGGCTACCGGTGTAATGCCGTGCTCTGGCCGACCCGGATGTGGCGCCTCCGACCACCGGTGTAATGCCGTGCTCTGGCCGGTCCGGATGTCTGCGGCCACCGGTGTAATGCCGTGCTCTGGCCGACCCGGATGTGGCGCCTCCGACCACCGGTGTAATGCCGTGCTCTGGCCGGTCCGGATGTCTGCGGCCACCGGTGTAATGCCGTGCTCTGGCCGGTCCGGATGTGGCGCCTCCGACCACCGGTGTAACTGCCGTGCTCTGGCCGACCCGGATGTCCCGAGACCACTAGTGTAAATGTCGTGCTCTGGACGATCCGGATGTCTGCGACCACCGTGCCTCTGGCCGATCCGGATGTCTGAAAATGTGAGGCAGCATAAACGCCCGGTGGATTATCCCCCGCCTGCCCCATTTTGGAGGAGCTGGCACCAGCCGGCTAGGTCGGTAGTGGCTGGGCCACCTCCTGACGGCGCCGGGCGTCTCCGGCGCATCGGCGCAGTACCCTCTCCACAGCAGTCGCCAATGTAGGTCAGAAGCTAGCTTGCGTAGGTCCTGCGCGAGCTCTGGCGGCGCGATGGAGACGGCGTCACGTCGCATCGCTCTGGAGGTGGGGCCGGCGAGGGCACCGGCATGTGGGATGACGTGAAGACGCTCTCCGTCTTACTCGGCCGCCGGCTGCATGCTTGTGCGAGGAATTGGCTCTGCATTTTTAGATTTGCTTGCATCGCAGAATGCGGTAGATTCTGCAGTCACCAGCACGCCGAGGCAAATAGAACCGGACGGATCAAAAACGCTGAAGTTGTTTGAAAGTGTAATTACATTTTTCACAGGGGGCTATCCCATCTCAAATGGTATGTTCCATCTTAATGTCACTCGGAAACTTGACTATGTAAAATCAACATACAATCAGCAATGACGGGTCACACAGTTCTTTGAGGGAGACTGCTCCGTAATTCATCCAAGGCAAATCATGACTAGCTGAAACAGCGGTCCTCTAATCCTAACTAAAGGCTAACTACACAGGCACAAAGTCCTTTCGAGCTCGACTATAAATATAGACATATCGTCAATGCTCTTTGGTGGGTGCCTCGTTTATTGAAGTGGCGCAACTCATCAAATAGTGTTTCACGCGTGCGCCAGATGCTCGTGCTGCATAAGCCATGCACAAACATTATCGATACGTGCGATTAGCAAACACCCATTCGTGCCACAGAAGGCTGCTGTGTTCACCGCCATCCCCAGCAGGATCGCACGAGTAACACGAAGTTGACATCGATGAATAATTGATCATGGTTGGGTCAAGCCTAAAAAACCGGCATCATCACCCCAGTCCGCAACTCATGACTACGTCAAAACACATCGCTTGACAAGCGTTATACCACCATGATCCAAGGCTCACCAGACTAGCCGCATCTGCAATAAAATTATATCAGGAACTTATCCCTGCCTAAAACTCAAATCCGACGCGCATTCAGACATCATGAACATGCTGCAGCAGGTCACGCCTGCTGGCATACGACACCATCTTGGAATGGTTGGCGGCGTCGCCACCTGAAAGTCCGGCCAGCGGATACTGTTGGGGCGAGATGGTCGGCGGGCCGGCCGACGGTCCGCCGCCATCGACCCAGCCGTCCTGCTGGCGCCCTGGTGGCGGCACAGAGGGGGTCTGCTGCGGCGCAGACTGCTCGTGCCGCCGTGGCAGCGGGGCCGACTCCGGCGGCTGCCTGGGTGGACTCGCCCGCGACTGCTGCCAGTCGGCTGGCGCGCGGCCATCCGGCCTCTGCTGGGGGAGGCCCTCCGAGGAACGGTAGTGGCGCGGGAGCGTGCCGGCCCGCTGCAGCGCCGGTGGCGCCTCCTCGGCCTGATCGTACCACCACGGCGGCGCGCCGGACGACGGCGGCGCGCTATCCAGCCGCGACCGCTGCCGGGGCAGCGAGCCGGTGCCGGACGGTGGCGTGTGCCGCCGGGGCAGGGTGCCCCCGGCCGGCAGCGGCGGCGCGCCGGACTCGCCCCAATCCTGCGGCGGCCACTCCGACGCGCGAGGCCGCGGCGGCGGCAGCGCCAGCGAGGCCGGCCGGCCGACCGCCTCCAGCCGCTGCTGGGAGGCGCTCCGACGGCGCATCATGCCACCGCCGGGCGCCGGCTCCCGGCCACGACCCGCCGGCGCGCCCGCTTCCTCTGGCAGCCACTCGGGCACGTGCCAGCGCGCCGGCAGGTGGCGCTGGCTGTGCTCGTCCGGGAAGCCGAGCGTGACCCCCCGGCACGCGCACCAGGTGTGCCGACTGCAGCCGCCGGATCTGCGCCAGCTGCTGCTGTCGCGTCTGCGCCAGCGGCAGTGGCCGCGCAGCCGCGCCCGGCTGCTCCTTCTGGGCTGACTGGTACGGCTGCTGCTGGACCAGAGCGTGGTGCGCAGGCTGGTACGGCCGCTGCTGTGTTGGCTGATACACTGTCTCCTGGGCTGGCTGGCACAGCCGTTGCTGCGCTGTGTCGTGCGGCAGCTGCCGGTGAGCTGGCGGGAGGTGCGGCAGCTGGCCGGCAGCGGCCCGCTGCGCCCGGGCGCGCAGCTGCTGCACGTCGGCCTGCGTCAGCTGCTTCTGGCGGATGTAGGCCGTCGTCTCCGGGTACCCGATCGGCCAGTGCTGCTGCGGAGACCTCGGCTCCACCCGCTCGTGCTGGGTCTGCGCCGACGGCTGGGCGTGACGCTGCACTGACTGAGGGGAGCGCACCTGCACAAACTGCGGCAGGCGCGGGGGGCGATGGCGGCTGTTGATACGTCTGCCCGGACTGTTGCTGATATATCCGTCCTGACTGCTCCGGATGCATTTGCCCTAACTGTTGCTGATGCATCTGCATCAACTGTTTCGGATGCATCTGCGTTGACTGCTGCTGATACATCTGTGTTGGCTGCTGCTGATACATCTGTGTCGGTTGTTGCTGATACATCTCCGTCGATTGTTGCTGATACACCTGGCCCGGCTGCTGGGGATGCATTTGCTTTGACTGTTGCTGATACAGCTGTACTGACTGCTGCTGATACGTCTGGCCTGACTGCTGCTGCTGCGCAGGCATCGGATGCTGCGGATGCGATGCAAACCGAGGGTTATGCTGAGCATGCGCTTCCGGTGACGGTTGCAGGTACCGTTGCCCTGCCTGTTGCCACTTTGGCTGCTCCACCGCCCGCTCCTGATCGGCCCGACCGGCCAGCGGCCGCTGGTGGCGCCGCTCGGCGGCCGGCGGCACAACCACGCCGCGCACGGCCGGGCGCCGGGAGAAACCGCCGTCGTCAGCGGCGGCGTACCGGCGCCGCAGCCGCTCCGTCCGGTCCGCCTGCAGCTCGACGAAGCCGGCCAGCTCGTCCTCGCGACCGCGCAGGTCGTCGTCCTGGCTGGGAGGAACGTCCTTCGGGCGGAGCGAGCGCTCCACCGGAGGCGAATGGTGGTGGTCGACCCACGTCGGCGGCGGCGGCTCGCTGGGGAAGGCGGTCGGCGCCGCATCGGTCCGCAGCGCGTCCTCGATGTCGTCCAGCGAGTAGCTGTCGTCGGACGCCGTCGGCGACACCTCGCCGACGGCGGGGCGCGACGCGCCGCTTGTTGGCGCAGCCGGTAGCGGCAGCCCCCGCGTCGGTGGTAGCCTGTCGGTCCGAGCCGGGCCGCGTGGCCTCGGCGAGGCGCGGCGGCGAGTCGGGAGCGGGGATCCTCCCTGGCGGAGAGCCAGCAGCGGGGATCCACGCCGGCGGGGAGTGTCGCTCGGGGCTGGAGCTTAACGAACGCTCCGAGGACTGCTGGGAGCCCCGGTCCGGGTCGAGGGAGTCGCCGGGCGGGCTGCCCTCCCCTCGGCCCCGCTCCAGCGTCCTGTCCGTCCACCAGTCGCCGAGAACTGAGCGCGGCGGGCGGTCCGGCGTAGGGCTGGGTGCCGGGCGTCACGCTCCAGAACCGCTCGGGGGACCCTGGCTCACCGACCGGCGACGCGCTCAGCTCGATGTCGGCGCCCACGCTCGTCACCGCACCGTCCGCGGCAGGGGAGGAGTCCGAGTCCAGCGACTCGTCCGGACTCGACTGGGCGGGAGAGTCCGCTGGCGTCGGGTGGGCACGCTGCGCCGACGGCGGCGGCTTGTCCGACGCTGGCTGAGACCGAACAACGCCTCCACGGTCGTCCGCAGTCGTTGTCGTCGCCGGTTTCCGCGGAGAGTCGACCCCGTCAGAGTCGATTTCCGGCTCGGGGATGAACACGGGGACCGGCGTCTCGGGACTGATGTCCGAATACTGCAGCGGGGCAGGAAGCAGCTTCACGGATTCTGATGGCGCCACCGTCGCCTCGTGTAGAGACGGCTCCTCGTGGCCTACTCTCTGGCCGCCCACGCCTAACTCGGTGATGTCTTCGTCTCTAATCACCCGGAAGACATATGGTCCCGTGTCCTCCTGCGCCGGTGTCGGGGACGTGTCCCCTCGCTTTCCGAGCGCGACCGACGCGTCGGATTCGACGGACGAGACTGTCGCATCGTTTCTGCCGTCTCCCTCCACGCTCTCCGTCACCACATCGGGGAGATTCGGCCTCCAGAGCTGCCGACCGTCGTCTCTCAAGTCGGCGGGCGCCATCGCGCGTAGGCTGTCTGTCAGCAGAGCCGTGACCAGCGTCTGTGGCGAGGGGATCTTGCGGACGTGTTGCGAACTAAAGGTGTTGCTAATGTCCGCCAGGTGTGCTGTATCCGCTTCGGTCTCCGGAGGGCTTTCGACGGCATTGTGACCTGGAAAGAGGGGAAGAATAGGTCAAGCACCCCGATAGAAGCCCCGCCACTCGCATCCTGTCACCGATAACGCCACGCGAGGATCATTAGGCCTCAAATGATCCACGACGCGGTCAATGGGCTTCGGGAAGTAAAAACGGCCGGCCGCCTGCTTCGACCACCGGCGTCACAAAAACCTGAAACGTCACGTGACCAGGCAGTCTCACTTGGGCTGCACGGGCCGCAACAGTGAGCAGCGGACATCGGGAACTAACGGCAGCGGTGATGAGGCTAAAGACAGAGGAGACGCGCCAGTCCCTTCCCCAGCCGGCTGGCGGCTCTGGCGCAGCCATCGCCGCCCCTGAAAACGAACAGTGAAAGAAGAAAAGAATGACTTAACAAACTGCGGTGAAACATTCGACAGAATCCGGCTAGCCAAGTGGTTACGTCCATACGCATATCCGATGGCGCATTCCTGCAACGACCTGTATGCCCTCGACACCCACACAATTTAAATCTGGAATCTGAGCCGGTGGAAACCGGCATAGCATAAACATGCGTGCCCACGCAAGCATATGCAGCCGCGCCGATGCATTCAACCCAGAGCCGTGCTGAATGGGGCCATTCTTGGAGCGCTTCAACACATCGGAGGCACACACAAATTCTTGTGGTGTGTTGAGCCGTCCGTGCTGAGGTCTTATCTGGCATCCGGCGGACCCGGGCCGGCCTGCACCCTGCAGCCGACTACGTCACAACTGGCCCACTGCTGCGCAGGTGCCGGACCGACGGCGGCGCCCAGCGGCGCTCCCTCTGACGCGCCGGGTACCCGGGGACGTGCGTCCTGTGGCGGGCTTACCTCGCGGCGAGTTCAGGCCACTGTCTCCTGGTCCGTTGTGAAAGGACTCGGTTCCGCATAAAACCAGTTTACAGCTCACTGAGTCTGTGTGTTGAGACAATACTGGCGTGCTTGCTGACAGGTGCATGCCAAAACGGCAACAGGGTGGTCCTGATTCCCTTTAGGTGCGATGGCGCTTCGCTCCTAAACTGTGTTTGTCTGCTGCGAGAGAAGCACTCCAAACACCATGCACGACCTCAGAGTGCTCCATTCACCATCCTGTCTGTGATGTACATTGTACCTGTCCTCGCGAGCCACTTACACACGGAGAACTTGGTTGGTCGGACAGGTGAACGGTATAGGCAGACGATGTCTAAATATATCCGTTCGATATCCGTCAGTTTAAGGGACGGGACGTAATCGAAAACTGAAGAGTATTCGTTGCTATCAGACATTCAGTACTGAAACGGTGAACGTTTTATGAGGTGTCGTGTTCCACACGGATTCTACAACCCATCAGCCAATGTCAGAACATTACGAATAGTGATGACCAATGGCTATCCGTTGGCTGACGAATACCTCCACTCGTCACAGCTGAATCGTGCTGTAAATGCCACCCCTCACAGCTGGGTCATCAACTTCCCCGAATTTCTTTTAGGTATGAGATCTCGGTGCAATGAATAATCATTGGTTTATGGCAGAAAATGCCTTCATAAATTGACTGCGTTGTGTCTACGCAAGCGTGCATGCGGGCAACACGGCGGTTCTAAAGGCATCGTGTATCCAGAGTGTATTTGCTTCAGAAACACATTACGCCTCGTTAACGTCGGTTCGTATACGACACGACAGCACTGCTAGCAACATCGTGTATCTACTGGAGTGCGTGACGAAGTGGAGCTATCTCGTAGAATCTAATCCACGTATCGTTTGTCGAACTATCAGAGGCGAGTGACGTCACTGGTTTTGGTTCCGGGGAAATCGTGGATTTTCCTGTACTGTGAATATTACGAGCAAGTAGTTCAACTGACCGGGAACCAACTCTTTCCCTCCTTGTCGATGGAATGAGGAAGCTTTGGTCCGGATAGTGGCCCATTAAATGCCAAAAGAGAGTGTAGGCAAAACTTTGCCGCGAAGATACAAGCGTGCGTAACAACAGAGATGCACGTTTTGTCAACGGCGTAATGAGGCGGTCAATGAAAAGGAGGTGAAACTGATGCTGGCCTCCAGCCTAGTTTCAACCACGCGCGCCCTTTTAACGGCAGGTAAAACGTCTTGCATGACCGACAAGTATCTTTAATCACATGACGTCCCATTTACGAACCTCATCCGCTGCCATTTCTTTCGAGCAAGATAGTATGACTTACATACGATATCCATATCCAACACACTTGATGTCAATATCACCCTATACGATATCCAAACAACGACAAAAATGTTCATAAGCCGTTCAAAGACAAGCACGCGCAAGGCGGCAGGACAGTTCGTCATTTTTTGTCGCTGACCCGTCAGCTAGGCGCAGGCATTCCGAGGTCATTACTGCGCGCCAATTCGAGCGTGACGGCGGCAATTTTGATAGCCGCCGCCGATACGGAACCGGGCGCGCGGAGCGGCACGTGGCGTCGGCCGGTCCGACCTGCGTCACACACCCCGCCTAACCGCCGGCTGCCACAGCGCTGGCGGTTCCAGTGCGGCGGTGGCGGACGCGTCGGCATGCGCTGGCTGCGCTGGAATTCGACGAGGGGACCCCTCTCCCCAGCGGGGACAGCGGGCACGAGCTGACGGCGGCCGGGGCGCCACGTGCTGTGTCGGAAGTTTTTCGGATTAGAGGCTGTTGCCGGTACGGGCAGGTGCGCGGGAACGGAGCGGCGCCGTCTCCGAGCGAGTCACGTCCATGAAAGTTCAGCAGCGAGACTGCGGGTGTGAGGCGGGGCGGGGCGAGGTCTGGGATCCGGCGTCCGAACCGGGCCGTCGTAGTGAGCAGTCTCGCGGGGCGGCTGACTGACGTGCCATGAACGTCGGCCGCGGGCTTAACGCCCAGGACGGGCTGGCCCAACACTGGCCTTGACGTACTCAATGTCAAGATGAACCTAATGAACTCGCGCGTTGTGTGGCACGTGATGCTATTCAGTGGGGACATATCCTACCTGCGCTCTGAATGCTGATACACCTTCGATATCCAAAGTTGGTCCCAACGGGAGCCTTTGTCGCAAAGGAGGACCCGCGCCTTACATAGCAGGCACTGCCTTGCGTCAGTCGACTGAAAGGATCATCGGAAGGTTCATGGTACCAAGCAAAAGAAAGTTACGATGTGATCGACTGCCAATTTGAATTAATTGCGTGTGAGCATTTTTGACGACGCTAACCGAAAGCTGCAATGCTTTGCGCTTCGGATAGACTTGTCAAACAACTGATTGGACGTGTACCAAGGACTAACTAAACTTAGTGCGCACCAGGAGCGCGCACGCCGACACTGGTGGCCAAGATTGGCCGTGCCCTCTCTCTACGGCGAGAGGTTTATATTGATTCATTCCGCACGAATTCGGCTAAAACTTGCAGGAATACGGAAAACATGGGACATTGCGTCTCCTTCACGCGCCTTAGGAAAAGTTCTCGCTAAAACATAGATTTTTCTGACGCTACAAAAATCCCACAGAAATGTTTGAGATGCCTCATGTGGCAAGCTTGCTTACGAATACGCCGCAAATTCCTGTTCAAAACTCGATCTCGCAGACCAGCCGTGAACCCAGCTTCATCATGTGAAATCCCCAGTAACACCACCCACATCAACACGGTTTTTCCCGTCCCTGTTCGATGTCTTATATGTGCTCCCTTTACTTCCCCTCAATGTGCCACGGTCCGGAGCACGACTTTGGGCAGGTGCGCAGGCGGTCTCCGTCCGGACACCGACCAGCCACTACACCGAAAACGGCCGGCTTCCGGTCGCCGGTGCGTCGCTCGAGCCGGAGGAAGGACCCATTTCACGCCAGACCGCGGTCCGGACGGAACAATGGCCGAAACACGGAAGCGCGTCGATTGAGTGGCGTCGAGCGCCTGAGGTCCGCCGGCTGGCTGAGCAGGAGCAGCAGCCGCTACCAGCGGAGCCGAGAAGGGCGAGCGGGGCGGGGCGCGGGCGCCGGCAGCGGATCAGCAGCTCCGGTCAGGGGCCCCGGCAGGGACCGGGCAGGGATCGGGCAGGGACCGGCGGCTCGACGCGCGGACCGAACGGAGTGTCCCTCGGAATGGGCACAATCGGAGTGCGGCGCTCACTTTGCGCAAAACCAGTCTGTTACGACAGCCGCATATGCCGGGACAGCCCCTCGGGGGGACGCAGCTTACGGACGTGAGTGCTCTGTTGCGCAACGCCTCGGACGCATTCGATTCCCACCGGTGCGTAGCGGGCGAGGTAAACAGAAGGATAGAGGAGAGAGTCGTGTGGCACCGCACCAGTGGCTGTTGCATGACTGGGGAGCCCCACTGCAGAATGCAGTCAATATCGAGGACTTAATCACACTCCGCAAACAGCCAGACATCCGCAAGCATCAGATAAAGACCAATCACAGCGACTCAGGAATGCGGTCCACCTATAAGACCACTAAGTCGGCGGGCCGCTGAGAAATGCATGCACCTGCACTCATAAGGATCGTTCTAATCGGCGACCTTTGCAATGGTCAGCTCTCAGAAGGAGTCCATGCAAATGAGTTTGTTATAGCACACGACTGCTTCGCACATTTCGCGAGGTCGGTAACCGTTGCATCGGATACTGTTTCCCGCATTCGCTGCTCATATGTTAGAAACAGCCAAAAACAGAGACGACTCTGTTCTGCCAACGAAGCCATCCGCTAAACGCTTGCAAAACAATACTACGAACTCAATCGTTTCCACTTTACTCGGATGGATTATCATTGATGGAAACTGTATATATATATATATTATATATATATATATAGTATATATATATATTATATATATATATGTGTGTGTGTGTGTGTGGTGTGTGTGTGTGTGTGTTGTGTGTGTTGTGGGTGTGTGTGTGTGTGTGTTGTGTGTGTGTGTGTGTGTGTGTGTGTGTGTGGTGTGTGTGTGTGTTGTGTGTGTTGTGTGTGTGTGTGTGTATGTAATACGTGGGGAACTGTGTAGTCCACAGCATGCAAAGGGCATGCAGAGCACCTGTGCACAACATTTGTGC